TATTTCATAGAATCATAGAATTGCAAGGTTGGAAATGACCTGCAAGATCATCTAGTCCAACCGTCCTCCCATTACCATTGCTACCACAAGCCTCTAAACCACTTGCCACTTTTCTTGCAGTTACAGAACTAAGGAAGGTTGAATATGGAATAGAGAACAAGCAGTCAGTATGTTCTGTGCATTATGATAATTGACCGTCAGGAAATCTAGGGATTTAATTCTGTTTATATTCTCCTGTACAGACTTCAAGGAGCCCCATAGCAGCTGATAAGCTTTATGTAACCAAAGAAAGAAATGAGAGTTTACCCAGCCCTGTCTTTCAAACAGATACCTTCCCTAGCTGGCAATACTTAACTTGGGTGGTTTTTGAACTGTTCCTTAGGTTAGCTAATGTTTTCTTGTAAAAAAATCACAGTCTGGATGGGAAAGAAAAGCAACAAAAACACAGAATACAGCTAAATCCACTCTGCAGCCACACAACTTTCTGAGTGCAGATGAAAATCTTCACTAGATACAAGAGCATTGTTTCGTTATACCAGTCCGAAGCCAGCAAAGCTTACACCAGTCTCTGTGGTTAATGGTACATGAAAGCGATTGTTATGAAAATAACTGTGTCCATTTACAATATTACTGCCTCTGTCCCAATGGGTACCACCCACACAGCAGAGTCAGCAGATTGAAAATGCAGATAATTCTAAGCTGCTTCAGGATAAAGTCCAGTGTTTAAAGCATACAATGCCAAGGGGGCTACGAATAGCTGGAGTTAAGCTCCTGGAGTTTGAAACTGCTCCCAGACATTCACGTCTTTCATTGTGCCACCAGAGCTGGGGCAGGCATCCCTGACAGTTTCAAAGAGCTTGGGGGCAGTGACAGCCCAAATAGCCACAGCTGTTTTCTGAGTGAATGTATCCAAGCTCCAAGCACAGTTTTTGCATTATCCTTTTGAGTAGAGGTTCGTGGCATTTGGACAATTGGTGAGGTTGTAACTGTTAAGTCAAATAGCTAACACATGGGGGACTGGGAAAGGAATATGAAAAAAGTCTAGAGGAATAAAAGTGCTATGTGAGGAATTTCACATTTAGTTCCAAGTACATGATGTAACCAAATCTGAACATTAAGGGAAATATTAGGTTTGTATTTTCTGACACAGTCTGCTCTAGCTAATGAAATACTGGCCTCACTATGGTGAGGTCCCTCTTAAGTGGTGGACATGAGGTCTCTAAAGGGAAAGGGCTTTGTTTTTCTGAATCCAACCCATCCTGAATTTGTTTCCCCTTCATAAGCAATGTAGAAAATGTAGCAGCATTTTAGATTCATTAACGATGTGTAACTTAAGACCTTTCTTTTCAGAATGTCTTAATATCTTAAAAAATTATCTTTAAAGATCTCTTTCAGATCTTTAAAAGTCTGCTCTACTGTGATAATGATATCTCAATCTGACCAAAGACCCTCCTCCACCACACTTACTTTGTAAACACACAGTCCACTTTCATAACATTGTGTGTTTTGACAAGTATTTACTAATACAAAGCTATTTGTAAACAAGAATGGAATGTTATTTTAGGTAAGTCAGCATATAGATCCTACTCCCAGCACCAACATGCTTTTGTTTTTACTACATACTGTCCTACTGTTTTTATAGCCTTAGATTTTGGCTTGAAATCCAGGCCACCCTGAATTTAATGACAGCACTTCCATCGAGTTCAGTCAGAACTGGATTTCAACCTAAATGCCTAATGTTGCTAATGTGGGATGAGGTAAACTTGATCGTCAAGTTTTTTTTTATGGCCACAACAGATGTTCCTTCTTTTAGACCAATGGAAAGGTCCAGAACCTCATCCACCCTCTAAAACAAAAATACAAGCATTTATTTACAGCTTGCTTCCTGGAATACGAGTTGACTGATCAGCTGCAAAGTTTCTTCTTGTTTACTTGAAAATAAATATATACACAGTTCTTGCTTTATCCAAACAGTGATGATGTCTGGATTGTATTTCACCTGTATAGTAATAATATTTTTAGCAAGCTAATACTGCATTATAATTAGCTTAGCACAACAGAAATATCAGCTTAATATTTTATATCTTGTTTTTAGAAAATGCATACATGTACATCCAGTAAATCGCAACATGTTTGGGGTATAAGTTTTGCATTCTGTAGATTTATTATTTTAGATCAACTACAATGCAACATTCTTATGATCATAAGCCAAGGTACAACCTATGAACAGTGAAATCAGTAAATAGAAATGTTTTCTTCCTACTGTTGTCATTCAGTGAACTTTCAAATTTGCATGAAACACTGAAGGTCTGGTGCATTCTCTGAAAATAGGAAACAAATTGTGATAGTGTAACAACTGTAATCTGAAGTTTTCTTTCATGAAGTGTGCAAAAACATTATTGCTTGATTTGATTGGTACCATCACATCTCTTGTGTAAATATCCAAAAGTTCTTCCACACAAACAATTAATACACGCTGAGGAAAAGACATGGCAGAAACAACTTTAGGAAGGCAAAAGCTTTGTATAAAAGGAATAGAGGCCTCGCTTAGCATGCATACATTGCTTACAAAGAAAAACACACCTTATCCTTTGTTTTTCCACCCCACTCCCACCTCCGGCTCTTTTGGACCTTTGCTCAAACCAGTTTAACGCAAAGAAACAGCAGGAAATTACATAACTTTTTGAATTTTTTTTTCCTGTTATTTTGGTGATTTGCATTCATTCAAGTAAAGGTCCAACAGATGCCAAACACAGCATGGCATGTGGCACGAGTTTTTGACTAGGAGAGGGAAAATCCTGGTGGAATCAGGAAGACCCACAGGCATCAGCGGACCATTACATGCCTTGTGAAACAGTACTCAGCTGAAAAGACGTATTCTGAGTTGCTTCTCACTGGCTTAATTTGATGCAAAGGTTGCCAGGCCCAGACAAGAGAAGCAGCAGGAGCAGGCTTCTGGGCACAGTGAGGCACAGAGCCCAGCAAAGCCCTCTAAAGGAACGGCACCCTCAGGCATGCTCTGCTTGGCGGCTTCATCTACTTCTTTCTTGTAGAGAAAAAAGACACTTCTCAGAGTGGTTGTTCCTAAAGCATGCTGGCAACAGGCTGCCTGCTTCAAATGGTTCCCAGCCCTTGAAATCACTGGGAAAGCAGAACTTATGTGACTCTTCTGCTGTGTATGGGCACCCTCTGCTACTGACTATATGCACAGATGATACAGTTGGAAGTCCAGTGCATATTTCTGGGTGGAGAGATTTGTTCTGCCTGGAAGTATTAGGAGGAAAGAACAGACCACAGTATTTGCTGGACTGTGTTACAAGAGTAAAAATAGCTCGTGACAAATATCTGTGTCAGGGGCACAGGAGCATGAGCTCTGCTTGGAGTGACCAAGGGTCATGCAGGGCTTGGGTGGCACCAGGGAAAGAGAAGGGAAATCTGGTGTTCAGTGGGACAGAGCATTCCTGCAGGTGACAGAAACATCGTGGAGATAGAGTACAGTTGACAAACAGTTGATAAGCAGCCTGGAGAAGAATTTTGTTCAGTTTGAATGAAGTAATTCAATAAATACAGGGGGGGGGAAATAATTTTTGTTTCTGCTGACTTCACCTTTGTCTGGCACAGATTGGTTAGGTAGGCAAGGTCCCTGCTGCCCAGCTTGTATCAAATATTAATCCATAATGAGAACTTCAAACCCATTCCAAATACTGATAAGCCCTCATTAGTAATAAATGCATAAAGGATTTTAAACAATTGGCATGTTGCAAAACAGCTCCAGAAAAAGAAAACAAACAAACCCTGTGCACCTGATCATCAAGATTTCATTACAAAAGTCAGTAAATAAATTCTTTACAGAGAGAGTGGTGAGGTGCTGGAACAGGCTGCCCAGAGAGGTTGTGGATGCCCCATCCCTGGAGGTGTTCAAGGCCAGATTGGATGGGGCCCTGGGCAGCCTGGTCTAGTATTAAATGGGGAGGTTGGTGGTCCTACATGAGGTGGGGGGGTTGGAGATCCGTGATCCTTGAGATCCTTTCCAACCCTGGCCATTCTGTGATTCTGTGATTCTGTGATTCTGTGTCAGCAAGGCCACAGGCTGTCACAGGTTGTTGTGGCAACAGCACGGTGCAGGCAGGCTGCACAGAATACTGCTAGCAAAGCCAGTGCTTCTCAAAATCATCATATTTTTTGTGTTCAGGCTATGCAGATGCTTCACCCACACACCCGAGCTGCAGCGGGTTTACAAGGAGAGTGCGAGTGAATATCTATTTACTGACAAAATAATTGAAAGCAAACGAGGGTTGAAACTGGTTGGTCTTTGAGGTCCTTTCCAACCCAAGGCCATTCCATACTGGTGTTGCTATAGGTTTAGGTGTGCAGCTGCACGCTGCCTTTGGCCCAAAGAAGCAGGAAATTCACATGGCAAGGAAGAGATTGAGACACTGGGATCTCAGCAGTGTTCATAAATACCCAAAGAGGGTGCAAAGGGGGCTCTTTTCAGTGTTTCCCATTGCCAGGGTCAGAGACAGTGGGCACAGACTGAGCAGAGGAGATTCTCCCTGAATGCTGGGAAGCAGTTCTGTGCTGTGTGGTCACTGAGCACTGGCACAGATTGCCCAAGGGCCATGGAGTCTCCACTCCACTAGTTCCTTCGCCTATTTCCACATCAGAAAAACATTTGTTGTTTCCTTCCCTGCTTGGCTGAAGACTGCAAACACGTAAGTGATCAAAATAGAGACTGCTGGGCTGATGATGGCTAATAGCAGGTGTCAAAGTGCAGGCATTCCCCCATGGACAAAACCCATCATGGTTGGGCTGGTGCCCAACTCATAGGAAGGAACACGAGTCTTTCACATGGAAAGGGAGATAAATTGCATCTAAACTCTCTAATAATGATAATGTAGAGAGATAGATGAGGTAACTGAGTGTTAGAATCCTCCATACGCTCTTCTCTTATACAATCGCATTATGTACTATTGACTAGCACAAGCCAGATGCAAAAGCCGGATGTTGTTTGAGTTCATCCTTTGGATTTCTCCAGAGGGAGAAATGGCGGAGATCTTCACGAAGAGGGGAAATGGCCTGAAATTGTACCAGAGGAGGTTGAGATGGCACGTTGGGAAGAATTTCTTCTCAGAAGGAGCGGTGAGGCAGTGGCACTGGCTGCCCGTGGAGGCGGTAGAATCACCGCCGCCGTCGGGGCTCAAGAACCGCGTTCATGCGGCACTGAGACGCAATGAGCTGAGGCGGGGCGCCGCCCGCAGGCCACGCCGGGGCTCGGAACTACATTTCCCAGCGCGCCCTGCGGCGCGGCGGAGGCTATAAAAGGCGGCGGCGCGGCACCGCTCGGTTTACACGCCGGCTGTCAGGTGCGGGCGGAGTAGCCGCCAGGGTCGGTTAGCGCGCAGGTCGGCAGGTGATTCTCGGGCCGCCCCGCCATGGGACCGCAGGACCCGGTGCTGGAGGAGCTGAAGCGGCGGGCGTGCGAGAGCGTGGAGCTGAACGCGGCGCGGCTGGGCGAGCTGAGCCGCAGCATCTGGCGGCGGCCCGAGCTGGCCTACCAGGAGCACCACGCGCACGACGCCATGACCGGCTTCTTCTCCGGCGGGGAGCTGCCGGGCGCCGCCTGGGCCGTGCGGCCCCGCTACAAGCTGGACACGGCCTTCCGCGCCGAGTGGGGCACGGCCGACCCCCCGCGGGGCCCCCGCCCGCTCCGCGTCGCCTTCCTGTGCGAGTACGACGCGCTGCCCGGCATCGGCCACGCGTGCGGCCACAACCTCATCGCCGAGGTAGGGGCGGCCGCCGCGCTGGGTCTCAAGGCCGCCCTGGAGAGCCTGCCGCAGCCCGCGCCCGTCGCCGTGCAGGTGGGAGCCCTCCCCCGGGCGGGGGTCCGGCCCTGCTGCCGCCGGGGCCCTGAGCGTTTGTGCGTTTGCGTCGCAGGTGACGGTGCTGGGGACCCCCGCCGAGGAGCAGGGAGGAGGCAAGATCGACCTGATCAACGCCGGGGCGTTTGACGGCTTGGACGTGGTCTTCATGGCTCACCCCTCGCAGGAGAACGCGGCTTATCTGCCCGATGTGGCTGAGCACGAGTGAGTGAGCGGGCGAGCTCACGTGGAAAGGCTCGCCTCGCTGCTGTCCTTCGTTCCCCTCCCCGAGTTGCTGCTTGGCGTAGGCTGAGGTTAGGCCGGGACCTTGCAGGTGCCCTCCAGAGGAGGCATTTGCGGTCAGTGGACTGTAGTCAGCAGGTCGCTGTTGGGCATGCTGCTCTTCCAAGGGCAACACTTAAAGAAGCTGGATCTTGTGTGTCCTCAGAATCCATTTTTTCTTCCAATATCTTTAGGTGTTTCTTTCTCCATGTGCATCTAATAATCTACTCTCTCTTAAAAAAGAAAAAGTTTCATTTTTTCTATTTCAGAACGTACAGTGAGGGGACATCTCATTAATTGTAATTTCTTGCATTTCTGGGCACCAGACCATGGAATTCTTCTTATTTTAATCAGTTTTGAAAGTGCTTGTTTTTACCTCTTACCTTTGGAAACAGCTGACAGCCAGCTGAGTCTGAGTGCTGTTTGGGTCCTTAATAATTTCCAGCCTGAATTTAATTTTGGCCATTCTGTATCTATTAACTCTAAGATCAGCTTTGTCTTTAGATTCAAATTATTTCCTGGCGTTCTCTCATGTGTACCATCACTATATGTACAGACAGCAGTCGTGCCCTCATTGCACCTTTTTCCAGTCAGCTGGCATCACAGTTCTTTGGCAGTACTGCATTGTCATCTCTTGATTAGCTCACATGTTCATTTTCTGCACTTGTTCTGTACTTGCACTTGCAGAGTCTTCTTGATTTGTTCCTTGCTGGATGTGTAACTAGAGCTGTACGCTTCGGGTGTAATTGCATTGCTGAGCTAATGCTGGGGCCACAGTGTCTCATTTCCCTGAAATTTCAACATATAGGCAATCTTAGAGTGATTTAGCTTTCAGTAAACTGATACTTTCCTTTGTAGGCAGCTAGCATCAATGGGGCTTTCCTCTTCAGTTATTTTCAAGCAAGAAGCTTCTACAGAGAAATGCTTAGTCTGATTTTAAGTATTTTTAAGTTGAATTCTTTTCCTGCTATATTAGTCCTCAGGATCATGCCATTCTTCTTCTAGTGTTATAAACCCCTTCACTGTTTTAGTGTCTTAGCAGTATTCTGTCAGCAGCTTTTTAATAGCAAGTACCTTTTATGCCAGAGTTACCAGTGGTACTTGATCCCATGGACTTGCCCTGCAGGGTCTTTGCTAGTAACCTCTTTCTAGTGATTTTTTTTTTCCCACATGTACTGAAATTAGCACTCTTAAATTCTGTAACAATTGTCCAGCCATCTGACTTGAGTACTGAGTGCTGTTTTCATCTTGGCTGTGTTACCTGTGTGTGCTTGATTTTATTGGCCTTTTTTTTTCCTTGCAGTGTTGCTCCTGGAGAATAATTTATCCAGGTACTGCTTAGCTTTATGGTTAAAATTGACAAGATTGGCAAGAAACACTAGTCTTCATTCTGTAGCTAGCCCTCTGATAGATTTCTTCATCATGTGAAGAATCTGAACTGTTTAATCTGAAGTGTTTGATTTTTTGACACTTAGCTCAGCTAGACTTTCAGTTGCTGTTTCTTAAGACTGTGTTTGTAGTCTTTATTGGCAGTTCTTTCTCCATTTCATCTTTTGTAATGGCCCCTTGAGATTGATACAGTAAGATTTGGGAATCCCCTTTCTGAGTTGATATCCTATTGTAGGGTACACATCTCAGCTAGCCTTTAAAGCCTGAAGGTGGAGGAGACATGGAATTGAAGTACTGAGTGGAAACAGCTTGCTACCTCCAACAGCTTGAAATACTCAGCTAATGCCATGGTTGAAATAATGAGATTTCAAGTGTACAAAGACTGCTTTCATGCTTTGTATTTGGTCTTTCGGTTGTTTCTAAGGAATTTTAGAATTAACAATCACTAAATTATTAGTGCATCTGTTTGCAAACTCAGGCTGACTTGTGCCTCAGGTAAATTCAGCACCCTGGGATAACTGCTTTGAATGCATGCCATAATGTGGTGATTCTTATTCACTTTTCACCAGATTAGCCTGGGGTTTTTGTTGTTGGTTGAACAAAAATTTGAGGATTGCATTATCCACCAAAATCTCTTTTTATTCTGGATGTGGTATTTGTGTTACAATAGAGGCCCCATGAGAAGGAGTGCTGAACTTTTTAAATAAGCAGCTTCATGTTTCTTGTGGACAGAAATAATTGCAACGTGGCTTTCATTTTTACTTTGTCTTCTCTCTAACTAGGAGAATGTTCAGAGATTTGTCCTGTCATCTTTATGAGCTGATTTGAAGGCTGCAGTCTAATGCTTGGGTTACTCTACAGAATGGGATGTGTGATCCTTGGAAGAGGAAGGAAAGGGCATTACAAAAGCTTGCTTAGTTTAGATTGCACACACTGAAGGAGTCATTTTGTGCTGCAACAGGGGACTCCATTGTGTCCCTTATTGCTGTCTGGTATCTAAGTGCCAGTATTAGCTTAGAGCTGTGGCGTGGTTCCGGGCCTGAGGGGTCATTGAGGACAAGTGGCTGAGTTGGCGTTTGTGCAGGACGGGGATGACCGTGGTAGGCTTTCCCTAGCTGGGTGAGTGACAAGTGTGTGTTTTGGGAAACTCTGTGAGCCTGAGGATAGAGCATCATATGTAAAGGTCTGGGATTTGAGTTCCAGCCAGTTTAATTAAAACCTCTGGTATTGATAAAAGCTGATATTTGCATATTTGAGAAATGGTAATAAATGGAAATGTCAGTATTTAATATCTGCCTTATGTGTAGAGAGTTTTCATGTAACTGAAGATGCTAATAAATGGCACTCATCAGAAGAATTCATGCTTGCCTTCATCCTATCAGATGTGCTGAACTGTGGTATTATGACTGCTGGAGGTCACCTTTTGCAGTGGGTTTCTTCCTTCGTTGCAAGCTTTTCCCCCAGCATTTTTTGAGGTGTACAGGGAAAAGGCATCCTTACTGTAGCATAACGTCCATTTTAATACTACACTGTGCTTTTACTACACTTCAAACTTGATTTTTTTTGTTTAGACATGGATTATGTGTGATCTTACTAATGTACTGTCAATTATGTATAGTTTACAGTGCAAATTTAAAAGTTTGGCAAGAATTAGGGCAGTCAACTTCTAATGTTGAATCGGTTATCCTCTGAGAAGAATATTAGTAAGTATCTCAGGACAATTGGGATGGTATAGAAAAGTGCTGGGGAAATTTAAGTTTTACTGAAAGCCTTTAAACTGCAGGAAAGACTGTGCATTATGGGAACTGTTTTGCCTGATTGGCTCTTGATATCTGATATCATCAACTTTCTAGAAATCTTTCAACACCTTCCTTCTCTCAAAGGTAGTTTAACTTTGCAGTGGTTTCATGTTAGGTAAATTGTTATTTGGTGTTCTGCTGCACAAGGCTTACATGTGATTGTGTGAACAAAAGGAATTTTTTGTTTTAGAGGCTTTTTTTTTTAAGTGAATGAATAGCAAATAAGCAATGCCTTTTATTTCCTAGCGTGACTGTGAAATACTTTGGAAAAGCTTCTCATGCTGCTGCTTATCCTTGGGAAGGAGTTAATGCATTAGATGCTGCTGTTCTTGCATACAACAATCTGTCTGTTTTAAGACAGCAAATGAAACCCACCTGGAGAGTTCATGGTGAGATCTTCATTAAATCTGATGTCCAGCACGTAAGACTATAGGCTGTTCAAATACTAACTTGCAAAATCCTACAATTTGAGATATTGCACTGTTGAGTTAAATTAGTGTCACTTCAAATACTGTGGAATATCACTGTTTCACTTAAATAATATACAATATTTACAGTCATTTCTGTGTCACAGTGAACTGTTGAAAATAAGCTTAATTTTAAGTGTTTGCACCTGAAGTTGCAGTTCAGAAAGAAGGAGCTAAGTGTGCTTCAGTAGAATTTTGCAGAAGCTTAAGATCAAATGCTTCTGTGTAAAGAAGTATTACTTTCTGCATAATTTTTGTAGCCCTTTATGTTGACATGTAGTGTTTCAGTGACTTAAATTCATTTTCAGAAGTGCTAAGAAAAGTGATGGCAGGAGTCTGTAGTTCTGAATAGTGGTCCAGTCAGCTGTGCTGGATTCTATTATTTAATATCTAGTAGACCTTGAAGTAGACATACACCTTTCTTTTGCAATAAGGTATGCTAACTGTTAAGCTTCATTTACCTTCAAATTCTTTTTGCATGGTGAGAAAGTTGCAGAAGTTGAGCTGAAAGCTGCCTGTTGGCTGTAAACCCAGATTTCCCCTCTTACACCCAGTACAGCTTTCTCAAAGTTTAAATTAAGAAGCACGTTCATTGCTAAAGAACTTATGAATATAGAGTTGTTTATTTGGAAAACTTGTGAGCTATGACTCTTACAGAGTTCCTGAGCTCATGACCATTATGTATCGTGGCAGCTTGTTCTCTCTAACACCTGTGCATATTTCTCTCCAGGATATCTAAATGGAGTCTGGAGGCCCTAATCTGTAGATGAAGATAATGTTTGTGGTTCTGTTGCTGAGCTTACCCAAATGAGTTTCAGTGGGTGTAGAGAAGCATCTCTAACCTATTGCTCTGTAGGAGTCAAGACATTTGAGTTTGGGTATATGAAACTCATGTTGCAGGTTTAAGAAGGGACTTGGAGGTGGCTAACTCTTCTGTTTTTCTCTTGGTTTCTGCAAGCCTCATTAGCAAAAAAAAAAAAAAAAAAGTCCTGAACAAACCTTGTTGAGGTAATACTCTCCCACAACCACAGTAAAACTTAAATTTGTGTTGATAAATTTACTGTCATAAACTTGGTTGTCAAGCTGAAAAAAATTTAAAATGCCTGTTGGGAAGGTGTAAGCAACCAGAATGAGATTTTATTCTAGGAACGCTTTGCTTACATCTGTGTATTAGATGTTTTGTGTTGCAGGCTTGCATTAACTAACTGCCCTAAGTGATCCTGTAAATCTTAGACTTAACCCACTAACAAGCACTGAAATACTTTTCCATTGTTTTAAGTCTAGAATCTCTGAGCAGTGTTTTATGTAATTGAACATGCTATATTAAGTTGATCTAGTATTTGTTGGGTTTATCTTCCTTTTCACTTAAGAGTAAATGTTGCTACTTGAAAAACAGTAGATTCTTTTTTCTTTCTGTTCAACAAGTTATATTAAACAGTGTGTTGAAGTGAAGTTCTATGTAGAAGCAGGGTTCTGTCTGCAGAGCAGACTGCTTTTAAGATCTGCTCTCCATATATTATATAGACCTATTTAAGTAAATGCGTACTCTTAGGCTCTATCCAGTTATGCTTACAAAGTGCTGCATTGAAGAAAAGGGAGAGCTGTTTGCTCATTAAGCTACTTGTTTTGAGCAGACATGTTTTGATATGTCATGCAAATCTGCATGATTGCTTGCTGACTTTCTAGTTCTGTATTTATGAGGTCTATGTCTCATCTGAGCTATTCCCTTTATGGTAGGCTAGTGCTGATTGTTGCTTGATTCAGCACTTTGCTTTGACTGTATTCCAGATTAAAAATGTTGACTTTGGAGTTCCTAGTATTTATAGGCTTTCTGCATCAAAGATAAAGATTTGTTGCCCTTTTCCATTCTGACAGCACAGCCTTTTCAGGCTTCAGTTACACATATCAGTCCTTTTGTGCACTATTTCCATTTAAAGTAGATAAGGTGGTTCTCAGATTCAATGGAAAGCAAATCATATTTTGCATATATAAAATGAGAGCAGGAGGCTTGGAACAAAGGCAGCCTGTTGGAAGCAGCTAGCTGTCATGTAGTATTGATGACTACAGTATTTTATTGTTGAAGTTGCTAAATATTGTGTTTTTTTATGATAATGCCTCTGATGCCATAAGCAGAAAGGACGTAGCTGTCATGTGTTCCTTGAAGGAATTCTTGAAATTCAAATTTAACTCCAGTAAAACTGTGTATATATAGTATATGCTGTAAGATTTCTGAAGAATTAGGATGAGAAATCTAATAAACTATCTGTCCCATGTAGCACACACATCATATCAGTGTTGCACAGTGACGTTGTGATGTAGTCATTACATTTTTCTCTCCAAGCTGGTAGAAGAAGTTGGAAACATCCTAGGTGAGGAAACCTTCAAAAGCTGGAAGTGAAGGTAGCCGTTATTACAGGCTGTTTTCTTTGTCATTGACAACCAGATTACTTTGCAACTATAATGCATTGAATTCCAGGGGATTAATTACAAATGCTAGCTTGGTTTGTCTTTAGGCTTATAACAGATGTCTAACCAAAGAATAAGGTGAAATCATGCTGGAAAGCATGTACATTCCACTTAATCTGATCTGATGTGATAAAGAAATTTTGCTTATGCACAATGTTTTTTGGCATTTTGTATTTCATACTCAACTGATGCTTTGTTTTTGTCTGTATTTAGTTCTTGAGTGAAGAGTTTCACGACAAGGGTGAAGATAAAGCAGTAGGATTTAACACTGATAGTTTAACTTGACTTTCCTCTTTCTACAGGTGTTATAAAAAATGGTGGTGTGAAACCTAATATCATTCCTTCTTACACTGAACTGGAGTTTTACTTGCGTGCCCCTTCAATGAAAGATCTTTCTGTTCTGACAGAGAAGGTTGAGGACTGCTTCAAAGCCGCAGCACTGGCCACAGGATGCAAAGTATGAATATATTCTCATAGCCCTGTGTTTTGATCTTGAGTTGAGGAGCATGGAATTAAACACAGCACACCAAATAGGATCTTGAAGAGGGAAATAATCTTTTTCCTTATCCTGCTAGTTACTAATACAGCTCAGTTTACATCTGGTCCCATTACCTCAAGGACACCTTACTGAATCCTGTTCAGTTGCTTTCCTCACTATTTGGCTTCCAGACAGCACTGCTGCATGGGATACTTCCCTCTTAGATGTAGGACATTGGATTTGTTGAAGTTCATGAGGTTCCTGCCAGCCTGTTTCTATTCTTGTCATGTTGACATACTTCTGAATAGTATATAGCTCAGCCTTCAGCTTAACAGCTGCTCCCTATACATACCTTCACATTATTGCCTGCTCCACACCAATTAGGTATAGTTGGCAAACTTGTATGTGCTCCTGTTGTCTGTAACAGTAATAAAGATACCAAAACAAGAATGACACCCATATTGACTCCAGAGGGATGCTAAAAGTAACATGCAGCAACATGGATTTTTGTGTCACTGTTCATAATCCTTTGAGGCTGAATGTCATTCATGTCCACTGAACTAGATGTTGTCATGAAAAGCTGAGCTGGGTCATGTACCATCTAGTCTTCAGTAAATCTGTGCTGGATATTCACTCTCACCTTATGACTCTTCTACCTGGACGTTGGTTTTAGGGAGAATTAACTCCATAATCTTCCTAGGAGCTTGAGGATAGGATAGTAAATTCCAAGGTCCTCCTGACCCTTCGAGATAAATATGACAGCATTTTTTCAGTCACTTGGAACATCCCTCTACTTCAGTGACATTTAAAAAGTGATAGCTCATGATTTGCAGTGGTGTTCCTTTCTCACTGAGCACCCTGGATGCTCCCATTCTTCTCTCTTGTGGCTGGTTCAAAGAGTAAGACTGCCTTGCAATGTATTTATAAGATCAGAGGTTCTGGTTGCTCTTGGTACGTGGTGCTAATGCAGCTCATCAGAACAAAGAGGCATTGTGTATATAGTTGTGAACCAGTGAATTGTGAGGAGCCTTTTAGGTGCTGTTTGCCTATTTTGGCTTCTTCACTGCAACTAGAGAAGGGTTTCAGGAACTCTGCTTTATTCTGAATAAAAGCTGAAATCTCTTTTAGAACTTGATGTTGGTAGATATTTTTTTACACTTGTTTTCAAACATTTATTGTGTGAATTCTTTCTGTAAACATTACTGAGGCTGTAATTATTGGAACTGCTCTAAATAAAAATAGTGAAACAGAATTTTGTGGAAGACTTAGATTGATTTTGATGTAGGTTGATAGTACCTGCAGTGAAAATCATTAGAAGCTATTACAGGAAGATTTTCCTGCTTTTTTTAGAGATGTCTGTGAAATCCTTATGGTATTTGACTGGCTCTTGGAAGCTTGACAGAAAATAAAGCTAATGTTTGGCTGAATGTTATATTTCTGAAAAAAACTTTGTGCTTTTGTCTGCTTTGATGTGGTTCTGAAGTATGGATGTGTACTTTTTCAGTCTTTGTATACATTAAACTGCCTTAGGTTGGAGAAGGGTGTCTAACATCTTGTTTCTCTTGACTAGGTGGAAATAAAAGGGGGTAAAAATGATTACTACAATGTGCTTCCAAATAAAAGCCTGCAGAAGATTTACAAGGAGAATGGAAAGAAGCTTGGAATAGAATTTATATCAGAAGACTGCATTCTGAATGGTTTGTCAGGTAACTCAATCTATTTCTCTTGTTATGACGAGTCTTAAGTGTGTAAAAGGATGAGGCAGAGGTAGGTGAAACAAAACAGTTTGATCAGAAGAAAAGGTCAGATTAGAAAACTGAAACAATGTAAAAGGGTCATACCTCTAGCCTGTGCTTTTTTGCTGTAGAAGCAGAGAAATTTTCCTGACACGCATTGAAAGCAGTTAAGTGCTTTGTGGTAATATTTCTGAAAATATTTCAAGTAAGGAACACTCAAATTTGGGATGAATTGAGGCTGGAAATTTGATTCTTTTGCTGATTGAAAGCAAGAAAAAAGCCAGCACAGTCTTTTCAGCTGATTGTGTATTAGGGCAAGTTTAGGACTCTTGTTTAGTCAGGAGGAGGCAGACCTTTTAGACTCCTGGTTTGTCTTTCCAGATTTACAAAGAGTACAGAGTCCTGAAAATGAAAAGAACTTAGTGCTGTGCCAAGAGTTGAATTCTCTTCAAATTCAAGCTGTGTTTATGGAAAACAATACTTTTTTTTTGAAAAGTCTTTCTCATTTGGTTTATGTGCAAGCACAGAAGATACCAAACTAGTCTTTTATCACAGAATGTAGTTTCTGTGGACTCACTTTTATGTTTCAACATAAAAATCTATGTTCTTCAATCAGTTCACTACCAAGTCTCAAAGCATTGCTGATGTATTCTCACCAACAATGTAATGATGTGGAGTCTACCTGATGTGTTAGAAAGAGTTTAAATAGTTGGATAAGTCCCTTCAAAAGCTACCTCTGAAGAAACTCCTGCAATTTTGACCTGAAAAAAGCTGGCGAGAATCCCATAGTTGGTCATCCCTCTTTACCCACTCTGAAACAAGGTCGTTTTATGCTTTCCCTGCTACCTGAATTTCACAGTAACTGGTGCGTTCCGTTTTGTGGCTTCTAAACATCTCTTTAACAAATATGGAAGAACTGAGTGGATTGCCTATTTGCCTTTACTAATAATAATTTAAAAAAACATCTCAGGACATAGTTATGAACTCTTAGATGATTCATTATTAAGAATCTACCACTTTGGGATGGTATCTTTAAATAGGTGATGCAGTCCTCAAGATGGTTGCTGTTGCTCATAAGCCAGTGGTGCTAGCTAGTCAGGTATGGCTATCAAGAATTCTTTATATCTACAAAGCAGTAGCATTCTGTGTGGAGTTCAGTTTGGGTCTTGTTTTTTTTTTCAGGAGTGTTTGTGTAGTTAATGTTTCTGTAACTGAGAATGATGAAGAAGTGCCAGAAAACATATTTGTCCTCAGTCTGTTTTTGTTTAAAAATAGCTTGTACTTCAGAGTTTGTACTTCTTGTGAAACACTTGCATAGTGGTGAGAAGAGAACTGTTGGAGCTGCTGATAGGTGCTGGAGCAAGATTTGCAATATCTGGGCTGTGCCAAATTCAGAAGCTTGGAGCTTTCCTCTTTTCTGAATTAACAGCTTACTCAGGAGATGCTTGATGAGAGTCTCAGTAAATGGGATAGGAACAGGTTGATGTATCTTTCTTGCAGTCCAGTAACAAATTAGTGACAGAAGCATGCTGCAGAGCATCTGAAGATGGTTAGTTAAGAAGAACTTGGTTCTCTGATGGGAGATTTTTGTGTAGATAATGACTCATTGGAAATGCTTACATATTAGTATTTGGGACAAAGGATATCCAAATGTGGGATGGGGGTGGTATCTGTCATAGATTTTCCTACATCATTTACAACTCTTCAACACACTGACTGAGAATTTTCATGCTATTTCTAGGTTCCACAGATTTTGGAAATGTTACCTTTGTAGTCCCTGGGCTTCATCCTTATTTTTATATTGGCTCTGATGCTTTGAATCATACTGAGCAATACACAGAAGCTGCAGGTGAGTGAAAGTGGAAATGGTCAGAAGCTTACATCTAGAACCTGAAGTACTGTATGGTGTGGTTGCCAACTCTTCACTACGGTACTTTTCACTACGGATAATTAAGGAACTAAATATTTTGAATTGCACAAGATTAAAGCTTTTTTGTGCTTCTGTAGTGTTCAGAGCTACTGTATAGTAAATGTGTAGATGTACTGAAGTACAAGTACTGGATCTAAAAGAGACTGCATGTGATTGACTGTGTAGAAATGGAGTTGCTTTCTTCAAGCATGATGAGGTATGAGCTGAATATGGATCTTGAAACAATTTAATTGCAGAGCTACAGAGAAAAAGCTGAAAATGTCTAGCATTTCTATTTTCGTATTTAAAATTAAATATATATGGAAAGATGACCCATTCCTTATAGTAAAAACTGGACTTCTCTTCAGAATACTGTCTACTAAGAAGTTAGAAGAGTTAGCTAGCACTGGTGGCATGTTCTAAGAGTTTCTGAGTCAAGAGATGAAAGTAGTAATTTTTATTCCCAAAGCACAGTGTTCTGCAAATAGAGGTGACATTGTAATGCTCTGCCTTTTCTAAAAATGGAAGTGTGAACATTTGTTTTCCTACTTTCCATCTTCTTCTTTATGTAAGAAGTAGAAAGTTAAACACTTCCATATCAAAAATTGTTTTGTGGCATCAGTTGTGCTTCACATGGTTAGATTTTTGGGAAAGTTTCTGTACTTTGAAACTCTAGGGTCTTCCTTTATAAAATGTTTTACATGATGATCTAGTAGATGAAATCTAATATTAGTTATCTAACAGGAAATTTTTCTTACCTTTTTTCCATAGGGTCACAAAATGCCCAGTTCTATGCTTTGCGCACAGCAAAAGCTTTGGCTATGACAGCATTGGATGTCATTTTCAATCCAGATCTACTAGAACAAGTTAGAGAAGACTTCAGACAAATGAAGCTAAAAGAAGAGGGACAACTAAATCAAGCAGAAACTGACAGAAAGCCAGGTGCTGGTGTAGGAGCGTGTGCCTCACGCTAAACCTTATTACACCTCTCTTAATAGGGTTGATTCAATGGGGACACTTTGAATGTCAGTCAGGCCTGGGGTAGACAGCTGAAGAAACAATGACTTGAGGAGAATCAAATAATAACATTGCTTTTAAAAATGCACACTTTCCTGTAGCTGTAATGTTTGCTGTAATCAGTATGGTAGTGAATTTCAGAGAGACCTCAGATATGTTGTCTGCCAGTTACAGAGTTAAATAGTAGCATTTAGATCTCTTAAGTGATTCTCTTTTGCTATTGAAAAATCCCTTATGGAACATACAGCACTTACATGGGAACGTCTGAAATAAGCATTATTCACTCTGATCACAGGCTGATTCTGACCTACAAGGCCAGTTACCTTGTCTTGGAGCAAGGCAAACTTAAAACCTGAGATGATTTCACTGGAGGGAAGGATAATATATTTGGAAGCAGGCCTGTTTTTGATGGTAGTAGCTTCTAGCAGTGGAAGAGAACTGTTTCTATAGTGACAAGGTCTGTTAAGTTTGACTGTCCTGAAATGTATTGACCATCCTTCTGATAAATTTTAGAGGTGTTGTTTAGTCCTCCAAAAAAAAAAAATATCAACAGTAAGCAGCTGAGTGTTTCTGTCTAGCATAGTTTGTATTGTTAAAGTTCTACTCCAGACAAAACAAATGTTTATGAAACAATTGCATTAGACTGATCTAATGAATGTGTACAGCAAAAGCAGTGGAATTGTCTTTTATGAGAATGCAAGTGTGATACTGTGGAACATCAACTGAAGGTAACTTTAAACTTGCTTTGTGCGGACTCTGGTAGTAAGTTCTGAGAAGCTTGCTCTGAAGATTTCTTGTGAAGGAACTGACTTCTCAAAGCTGTTTTGTCCTATATCCCAAGCATCAGATCTGTTAAATCTTGTTGTCCTTTCTGTGTAGCATGTTTAGTTTCTTTAATCCTTATTTGACTTCTTGCAAACTTTTATGTGATAGATTTTATTTGAGGGATAATCTGTGTGAAAACCCACTGTTTTTTTAATTGATTCCTTAAACTATCATGTGAATACGTAGGAGAGGAACTAATTTTTTTTGTCAGATGCAATTTACTGAGCTGTTGGACAGACTGAGCAAAAAGCAGCTTATTAGCTAATGTTTTCCTAAGCATAGTAGTAAGCTTCTGAGAAATCAGGAAGTCTGTATACCCAGAACAATTTTGGAAACATTGCTTTTAACAACATGAGTCTTTAAATGGTAAATTATAGAAGGCTAACCAGAATTTTATTGTATTAATTTCCAAATTATATTTTCTAATTTAAAAGAAAACCAAAATAATTTAAAAAAGCACACATTAATTGGTTAAATTTTTCACTCCCTCTGCATTTGTTTTTCGTTGCTGTTTTTGAGAGGGAGTGGCAGAATCCCAATGAAAGGAATATGTGCTACAGTGTTGTGCAAGCTGATGTGAATTATTGCCTTCTCAGTACTTTGTCCAACTAGCTGGCTGTTCATTGCATCATGTCCAAGATCATTTTTACATCTCAGTAATAAAAGCACATCTTAATTTTGTTGTAATCATCACTGAAGTGAAGAATAAAGTACTGATTAAAGATGAATTTATATCAATCACAATTGTGACTGAATTTTTTGTCTACTGATTTATATTGGAATGCTGTGTGAGTTCATTTGTATACTGTGCTTTTTTTCCCTAGTTTGATATAATTATGCAAGAGCAAGGGGGTTTTGAGCTCTCCGTTTCCATTTTGGTCTGCCAACAAACAGTTCTTTTGAGGGGCATAGTGCTTTTCAAATGCAGTGTTTAATGGTAGTTTTTATCATCCTCGGGCTGCTTCAACTATTAAAACTTGTTAGAATTTGTAGATTTGGCAGGGTTCTCCAGAAGGAACTCAGGCAGTCCCTGTCCAGCCATCAGCTTGAAGTGGGGGCAATCATCACTGCTGGGTCAAGTAAGTTTGGCTTCATCTGCATCCTGGAAGTTTCCTCAGGCAAATTAATCCTCATTTATCTCCAAACATTTGTTCTAAAGGTTCAAAACCAAAGTAGTTTGAGATTTAAGGTAAGAAATTTACTATTACGCTGATACGTATGTTTTGTTTTCAGCAAAAATATTTCAAAGCTCATAAAACTAGTTTGAAGGAGGCACTGTTCTTACAAGAATCAAGTATTGCAAATCCTTCTAATTGAAGGCAAGTAGCTGTGTGACTGTCTAGATTTTATGCTAAGCTATTGCTAACAAACAGTTCTGAAAGTTACTCTTTGTGTGGGCTCTATATATGACTGATTGGTTTTGGTATGTGGTTGTTTTGTGACTTAGAGTGGTGCTACATACATTTAACAGCAAGTAGTGTTTATGTAAACCAAGGCTTTGGGTTTGAGAGAAGATGGGGGAGGTAAAGCTCGCTTGAAAATTACCTTTGCTGAGGGATATCTGCTTCAAGAAATAATAGATCAATATAGATGAAGTATTGTAAGCAGTTTCTGAAGCCTGTTATAAGGTGATCCCAGAGCTCTCTCCTTATCCTGCAGGGATTGCAGGGAGTTGGGTTCTGTTCTGTATTGAGAATCATTTGGCCGGGCATGAGAAGATAGAAAACTAAAATCTAGTTATTCAATTGTTCTGAGAATATCCTTTTACTAGAAAAGAGAATTTGTTTTTCTTTGTGTCTTTTTGTTTTTCTAGCTGTTTCTGTCTGAAATTTTCCTTTTTGCTCCTCCACCTTTTCAGTACTTAGCAACATCCTTAAAGACTATTAAAGGCTTCAGTCTTCAAAGCTTTTAACCTGGACACACTCCCATGCAGAATTTGTCTAACCAGAACCCATCCAGACCAGCAGTAGACTTCAGCCTCTAAAAACAGCACCATCCCAGAGGTGCTTTGGGTTGACCTCTGAGAAATGGTCTTAATCTTATCACCAAGTAATGCCCTAGGCAGGATGAGTGAGAACTGTTAAACCCAAACTGTCTCAGGGAGGGAGGGGAATCTGAATGCTGTCTTCTCTGATTCTGAGATTGCAGGCTTGCTCCTCATCAGAGCTGTGTCTGTGAAATCCTGGGGCTCTCTCGTGCTGTAGGGTTTAAAGTCATTTGGTATTTGACTTGATCAGATCCGGAGCAAAAAGGTCTTTTGTGCATATATAAACTCATGGAGATCTCAGTATGGAGTTTTGGTTTTGATGATGAGCATTTCTGGAACCAAAACAAACCACTCTGATTTATTGTGGAAATGAGAAGGAGCAGAGCATTAATGTTTGGATACAAACCAATACACTGGAAGGTGAAAAGCAGTTACTGTGTATGAAGTATGTTTAATGATTGCAGTCCTTAATAGCAAACACTGGCCGTATGTGACATATCCTGTCCTTATACAATGCATCTATATACACATTTACAGACTGAAAAGGCACTAGAGTTTCCAAAATAAAACACAAGTCATTTCACAATGTGAAACCAGATGCAGAGGTTGCAGAATCTGTTTAGGACACCATGGGAAGGGAAGCTTTCAGAATCTCATGAGAAGTTAGAAACCAGTCTTCCCCTGAAAGCCAAGGAATCTGAAAGTCCAACTCCCATTTGTATCTCCAAAATTTCCTTAATTTTCTGGTTAATGGTCCTATAAGGTGTCTAGTACTGAAACAAATTACACTGTGTAGGCTTACAAAGCTGGATAGCTTACTGCAGTGTCTGCTGCTCCTGTCTGTGCTGTTCTTAGAATTGCGGGAGAAAATGGGTTCTTAACAATAGCGAGGACCTAAACGTGTCCCTGTGTGAGCAGTTCCCAAGAAGTCTTGGAGCCCTCTGTGAGGAAAGATGTCTTCAGAATAAAGGAGAGCAGGCAGTCCTGGTGCTTCTATTACAGAGATCTTTCTACTTTCATCCAATTAAGATGTTACATTTTAATACATATTTTTAATCTTTTGGGGAAAAAAAAACAAACAAAACAACCTCAGTGGATAGAAATATGGTATGGTAAGAAGAAGCTAAGATGTTCTATGTATGTGAAGAAAAGTCTCCGTAACAAAGTTATCTCATAGTGGCCGAGTTTGTCTTTCAGTAATTGTAGCTCTTGTGGCTTCAGTGGCACGTAGAGGCAGTGTAGGTACGTTTTGCATTTCACGATTCCAGCAGTTATAAGAAGTGCTGAGTACTTGTATGTGATATTTATTTACACATGAAATTGAAGCAGCAACCAGCAATGTTCAAACAACTGTAATGTCTGTGCTGCAAGTATAATGCTTGTAGTCCAGGGCAGGTTTCATGTAGGAAGCTTCACGTTCCTTCTGGAAACACCACTGTTTTAGCCTTATTTTCAGAACAGTTATGCCTGTGAAAGACAACAGCATCCGCTGCGTGAGGAATAGTGTTGTTCAGTACATCACCTGAAATGCATGCTTGTAGAATTCCATGGTAGTGTGCAAAGCGTGCATGTGCTTAAAGTCCTGTTAGTGCCACGCTTCAGTTATCTGTGCATGTGGGTGACGTGGCAGCAGACCAACTCAGTGACCGATTTTCTGAGACAGCTTCAGTGCTACTATTACCTCAAAGGCCTCTGAATATATTCGACTCATTCTGATCTAATTTCCTGAAATATTTTACTACTTCTACGCTACAGATTTTGCATTGAACAGATGCAGAATTTACGCTGACTGGCTGCTCTTCTGAAGCTGTGATGTCAAGTAGGGACTGAGGTGAGTGCTGAATGCCCCCATGCCAGCCTTGTCTTCTTGTCCTGCCCTGGATGGTTCTGTGCCTGCTCTGAGGGCCTGGAGGGCTGTGAGGTGCCAGGGAGAAGCAGAGTTGTTCAATTGGACCTGGGTCTCTCTCAGAGTGGGAGCTCTTTTCCGCTTCATTCCAAAGCTTTCAGCATGGTAATTTTACAAAGTAACGTGGTTACATTAGCAGTCACTCCATCTGCTTTGTCACCTGCTGAGCACTTTTCTGCTGGTCTTTTGTTAAAAACGGATGGACCTGGCTTCTTCTGGAACTGCCTGCCCTCACCAAAGACTTTGGCAGGGGCAGGACTTTACCAGCTGCAGCAGGTCTTGGCATTCAGGCTGCAGAGAGCCCTCCTGTACCAACCAGTAGCACCGAGGCTGTCTCAGCAAGAAGTGGCTTCTCCTACAGTGGTTGTATTCTTTTTTGTAGACACCCACTTGTCTTCACCGCATCACTCTGTAGAGAAATCTTTTCCCTCTCCTAGGAAACTCAAGCAAAACTCCCACTGACCCAAATAAGCAGCTCCAAGGAGAGGTCCTGTGTTTCCCAGAGGATTTGGCATCATGGAAAGTCCAACTTTTGTTCAGACTGATGGATTCCTCGGTAAATGTACACTGCAAGTTATATTTTAAAAGGTTAATCAATACAGCTTGGAAATACTTCATTGTTTTTAAGTACAGTCGAGACAGCACAAGTGTGAAAGGTATTGCTGCTGGGCTCTGTCAGTGCAGCACTGCCAGCACAGTGTGCATGGAGCAATGAAAGCCGCCTTTGGCCATTAATAGTCTTGCTGAAGTGTTTCCCACTCTTGGACATTCTGTTTTTGCAAAAGCTGCTTCTGACCTCATCCTGCAAGCACGCAAGTGTTTGCATATCTTTTGTACTTATCGGTGCTAAATGCTGTCTGTCTGCTGAGTTCAGAGATGTATGCATGGGCTCAAACACTGAGAGAACTGGGATTTGGGGTCACGAAATGGAAGTTGCGCCATATATAAGCAGCTGGCAATTAGTGTCACTCATTGAAGTAGATTACAGTGGCCTGTGAGGCACAAGAAGGAGCGTAGCACAGCTTTAAATATGCATGAAGTTTTAGATTGTATATCCTATATTTATTTGAAACGTGAAATTTGCAGTTATTTATGCCACGGATGAGTTGCACCTAGTAAAAAATAAATAAATTGAAATCCTGAAAAAAATCAATCTTCAAATTAATTCTCTATGTTCATTTTGTTAGCCTATGAGACAGTACTCTGATATCCTGCCGCAATACACTGTGACTACAGAAGTTACGTATGTTTATGAAAAAATGGACCAGTATATCAAGTTAAATAGAATGTATGCGCCAGGGAATATTATCCTGGAGTACTTGTCGATGGCGTGGGTGTCGATCCGCATGCTGACGTATCTCTGGTTTTTCCTCCTGCCCGAGCCCCTCTCAGACCCCAGCGCCAGCTGCACCATCATTCTGTCCTGCTTGTCTCCGTTCTCGGACACGTAGTGCCCCAACTCGTTCACGTCACCGTCGTTGTAGCTGCCGTCCATCATCATGGGCCGGGGCTGAGGAAGGCTGCACGCACAGGGGAGCTGTGGGCACAGGCAAGGGAAGAACATTTTGGAGTTATGTTCAGATATGCAAGGACAGCCCTTTACTCCCTATGAAAGCAGAGGGGAGACGAGCCTGGGGAAGTGAGATGGTGGGGGTATAGAAAGGACAATGAGGCAGTGGAGTGGGCAGCTGCTTATGGCTTCTGTTATTTCACATCTGCTGGACACAACATAATCACAGAGACAGCGAGGCTATCTGTGGGAAAGTTCCTTTGGTTTAAGCACGAGTACCAGGGCATAAATAAAGGTGGGACCTGTACATAGAAGCTGAGAAATTCAAAGAAGGTGGCAGAGGGAAACTCCAAGGAGAAGTGTATCAGGTTTGCCCCGTTTGAAGAGAAGAGCCTAGGCTGAAATTTTGGGCAGTTACAATTTAAGGTAATGAAGGCAAAAGGGGAAATTAGACCACTGTGTATAAGTCTAGGGCTATGTGTGAAGGGACATAATGCCCTCAAATCCTGAAGAACAAACGGTTAACTGAGATGCTGGGTATCTGTAGCAAATCTTTATAACCAGGAATGCTTCACTGCAGGTGTCTTCTTGCACCCACTGTATTTTCTCAGGGCATCCGAGAGCAACACACTGCAGGTTTAAACTTTGCACATTTCCAGATATTTGCCCCACTTTTTCTCAGTGGCATAAAACTGTATTAGAGATTGCAAAACTCACCTTATCCCGGAGTTTTCTCTCCTTTCTCTCTTGCACTGTGGTCAGGTAATTCACTGCTGCATATTCCAGCACTGAGAGGAAGACGAAGACAAAACTGACCCACAGGTAAATGTCCACTGCTTTGATGTAGGAAACACGGGGCATGGAGGCATTCACCCCAGTGATGATCGTAGACATGGTCAGCACGGTGGTGATCCCTGGGAACACAGCAGCAGAGCGATCCTGTAAGGTTTGTTCAACCTAAACTCTTCCTCACAAATAAAGTTACCATTTCCTGACATCCAAGCTGACCTTTTCACATTGGCGTGGTGGGTTTCACTGTCTAAGGAAGGTCTTTCTTACTTGGGTTTCTGGTACTTTCATGAGAACAGCTCTAATTCTGATTCTCCACCACACCACTGCCTCCATCCTATGGCAGGCAGCAGAGCTTTGAGCCTGCACTACTTGTACCCTATTACCAGGTGGAGGACAGTCCTGTGGAAAGCACAAATATCACAGCTTGTAGTTCAGCTCCTCCACCTGCTGCTTCCACCAGGTTCCCCAAAGCTTGTGTGTTCCATCTGCCCCAGAAAGTCCTGCTTCATCAGAAGTCAACAGTCAGCTCCCATGCTTGGTGTGCGTCTTCTTCTCAGGGATTAATGTGGCCCACAGGGCAATGCTGCCATGCATTACCCTGCAGGTAAGTGCTATGAACATACTAGGAAGGGCGTGAGCCCTTTAGTGTTATCCAGGCTCCTCCTTTCACAGGGGCTAATTATGGCATGTTAATGATTCACTTGAAAGTTGAGATGACATATTTCAGATGTACTTCTTTCTGTCTGACAAAGAAGAGCCAGGGAACACAGATGCTTTAGGAAGCAACTAGGAAACATCTGCTAATTGTCCTATATCTCAATGTCTTTCTTGTAGTGCGGGGCCCAAAACTGAACACAATACTCAAGATGGTGCCCCAGCAATGCCAAGTACAGAAGGACAATCACCCTGCTCCTGCTGGCTGCACTATTTCTGATACATTGCCAAGGTGCTGTTGGCTTTCTTGGCCACCTGGGCACACTGGTGATTCCTGTTCAGCCAAATGTAAACTAATACGCCCAGATTCTTTTCTTCCACACAACTTTCCAGCCATTCTGCTCTATGTCGATGCATGGGGTTGCTGTGATGAAAGTGCAGGACCCAGCACTTGGTCTTGTTAAAGCTCATACAATTGGCCTCAGCCCAGCCTATCCAGAGCCCTCTGAAAAGCCTTCCTTCTCTCAGGCAGATTGATGCTTCCTCCCAACTTGGTGTCACCTGAAAACTTACTGAGGGTGCACTTAGTGCCCTCATACAGGGATAAAGATATTAAACAGGACAGGCCCTGCTACCAACCCCCTGAGATCACCACTCATGTCTGATCACCAGCTGGATTTAACTCCATTTACCACCACTCTCTGGGCCTGGCCTTCCAGCCAGTTCCTTACCCAGCAAAGAGTGTACCTGTCCAGCCCATGGGCTGCCAACTTCTGTAGGAGAATGCTGTGGGAGACAAAGTCAAAGGCTTTGCTAAAGTCCAGGTAGGTTACATCAACAGCCTTTCCCTCATCCACCAGGTGGATCACCTGGTTGTAGGAGATGGTATTGGTCGAGTAGGACCTGCCCTTCAGGAACCTGTGCTGGTTGAGTCTGATCCCCTGGTTGTCCTGAACATGTCGTGTGATCTCACTCTCAAGATGATTTACTCCACTCTACTGAGTACTGTGAGGATATTGTTTGCTACAGTAAATTTCACAACGTTAAAATGACAGATGAGAGGAGTCCCAGGAATTCTAAAATTCTGCCTAATTGCAAATCAGAATAAAATCAGAAGCGACACAAATGTAACAAAAAACAAGACAGTAATGCTCATAGTGCTCTCAGTCAATTTTCTGCATGAGCAGAATTAATATACAGTATTGCTAACTACAGCTGTGAAATGAGCTGGGATGACATGTCAGCCCTGAAGCCCTGGAGAGGAGGCTATAAACTGAGACCCATGAAACATGGAATAGAAACTAAGTTAAAGGGAAATAAATCTAAAGGTCTGCAAACAAAATTTCAAGAACAGAGAAATGAGTTATGGAAAACAGCATTAACCCTAGGCATTCCCAGAGCAGTGATGCACTGTCTACTTACTAGCATTATTTTGAGTCTAACTGAGGAATTCCAAAAATGAGGTAGCAGTGAAGGAAAGGAGTATATTTTAACTCCTCTGGTGCCAGGCCCAGAAAGGAGCAAACTCCTTCGCCCCACTTAGGGAGGAATTGCAAGGGCAGAAGTAAGAACAGTTGGTGCACAGAGTGTGTAGGGCCTCCCTGCTGGAGCAAAAGCTTATCCATAAGTAAATAATGATAGTCTATTTCCACATGTATCTGTATATGTATGGGTATGGATGCATGCATATATATTAATTCCAACTGTTCCTCAAGAAAAATCGGTGAAGTCTTTTTAATAAATACAGCAGAACAAATGTTAACAGCAAAACAACCAGATGCAAAGAAGCTGAGCATGAGATCTGGATGGCAAAGAGTTAAAATTAGTGGTTTGAATGGAGTGCATGTTATTTGCCAATGTATTGCTCCCAGACAAGAAGCACATGTTGACTATTTGCTTGCAATTTTAAACTGCCATGAAAAATATTTCTGATTTCAATGTTTTAAACAGCCAACTTTGGCACCAAGTCCTTCAGCTCAAACATCAATCTCTGGTAAGAACAGGGAGGTTACAGTGCATGTGTTTCTCACAGCCCCTGTACTCTCTAATTCGGAATTATTAGCATACTTCAGCAATTTCTGTAGTGACACAGGGTGGAATTTTTTTAATCATTAGATTTGGAAAAATAGCAAACTATCTCTTTCCCTCACAACCATGTGTGCTGTACATGCTGAATTTTGAACAGTTTCACCCTCAAAAGATGTGAAACTGCACCAACATAATATTACACAGTAACTGGAGGAACAGCCCCAACAAGGGTGAGGATAGCAGCAGCAGTGGTGCAAACAGTTTAACAGCTTTCAAAGAGAGAGCAGTGATACTCAGTATAGACAAAAGTCCTTTTACCTTTCATTTGGGTAGTCGATCAAATAAGTCAAGAAAATCAACACTGTTGCAGCCAGGACTGAGAAGTTACTGATAGTGCCGCACAACATACAAGTAGTGCACAATAGATTTTATTACTTTTTAATGGGGTAGGTAACCATTTTGGAATCTCCCCACCAGAACAAGTCTTTATTTTCTCTTCCAGCACTCCTCAAGATGACAAAACTGTGGTGTTCATGGTGTTCATGTTGTTCCAGACATTAGTAATGTCACTTTTCCTCATCTGTGGTCAGACAGCCTGGGAGTGCCTATGAAGCCATGCCTGTGTCGAGTACAATGGGAATATGGGAGTGAAGTCTAAATCAGACTTCAACTTTTTTTTTTTTTCTTTTTTTTTTTTCTTTTTCTTTTTTTTTTTTTTGCAGCTTGCCTCTGAACTCACCATAGTGGGAAGTTATCATTTCCGTTAAAAATGTGCATTACTAAGTTTAGTACAACAACATCTGCTTCTACTGTAAAGGATAAGAAAATTCTATCTCCACAAACTTCTGAACTTAGACTGTAAGTGACCACGATGGGTTGTTGTCTCTTAAACGAGCTGAACCACTGCTGCATGTTAATATCTCTACAATCAAACCAACTTGTTCACCATTCCCGAGCATGTCCTATGGCAGGTGATTAGCATAAAGAGGTGACCACACCACCACTCTCAGGAGAGAATGATTGACTTCAGCCATGGGGTGGATCGTGTTGGTGCAGCCCCCTGCCACCCTGTGATCTCAGGATAAGGCAGCACCATGCTCCTGTCTTCGTTACAAGAGCAGGGAGATGGAATGATCAGCCACCCGCAATACCTGCTGCCTGGTAGTCCAGTCTATAAGGTACAGATCTGGATGGTGTGGGAAGGATTGGAATTGTTGGGCTCGTGGAATGTTCCAGAATTATCTCAGCTGCATTGTGTCCAGAATGGAATGTCACTGAATGAAGACAGTCAGCTTGTAAACCTATAAACAGAAGTCCTAAGCAAAGAGCCCCTTGAGCTCTCCAGGATCATGGTGGGCTGTGATCCCTAATGTCCCTCTGAGCTGGGATACCTCTTAGGACAGACCCCTCCAGGATCGAAGCTCATTCACTGGCAAACACCAGTGAGGAAGAAGGGTGAGTAGTTCTCCAAGGGGGAAGTCTTTGGGTGTGCAACTGAGTTTAGAACCCCCCACTACCCTGCAGTGAGCCTCACATCACCCACGCTATTCTTGAATCTTTAACCAAGTCACACTTTCAATTGTGGCAATTTCTGTTGAATGATGGTTTTAAACTGGCTATGATAAAGTATGGATAAAGTGATGTCAAGGATCATACAATCTAACTTGTGATTTATATAAAAATATTCATAAATCCTAAATTGCTAATAAATCAAACCTACACAAAAATCTATTCATTACAGTGTGTCTGCAATCCAGAAAGCCAATGGTATACTGGGCTGCATCAAAAGAATTGCAGCAAGCACATCAAGGGGTTCTCTCTACTACACTCTTGTGAGACTCCATCTGGAGTAATGTGTTCAGCTTTGGAGCCCTCAGCATTGGAAGCACATGGAGCTGTTTGAGTGAGTCCAGAGAAAGGCCACAAGGATGATCAGAAGACAGAAGCTCCTCTCTTGTGAAGAGAAGCTGAGAGAGTTGGGATTGTTCAGCCTGGAGAAGAGGGAGCTCCAAGGAGACCTTAAAGTGGCCTTCCAATACCTAGAGGTGGTCTACAGGAAAGATTGGGATGGCTTTTTTCATGGCCTGACAGTGATAGAGCAAAAGGGAACAGTTTTAAACTGAAAGAGGGTACATTAAGATTAAATATTAGAATGAAACTCTTAGGGTGTAAGAATTCCTCTCTGGGGAAATGAAGCACAAGAACAAATTGTCCAGAGAAGCTATGGATGCATCATCCGGGAAGGGTTCAAGGTCAGGTTGAATGGGACCCTGGGCAGACTGATCTGGTAGGTGGTAGCCCTCCTCAGAAAGGTGAAGGAGTGGAGCTATATTATATTTAAGACCCCTTCCAATCCAAGCCATTCTATGATTATATGATTCCATAATTTTATGTTTATATGTTTATATGATGAATAACCATAAAGCACTGAATTCACAGCAGCATACAGAAAAGTTCTCCTAAACTCAGTGCCTTTGTCTCAAAAAGCCACAGCACAAAACTTTTAGTTCCCTCTGAATTATGATTCATGGCAACGGATGGTGATTCTAAGCAGACATGTGGCCCGTTGCCATATCTGTTATTAATATTTCCTCTCCAATGATGAGCATAATTTTAACAATAAATAAAACTCTGAGATGTGTTCCCTGGAACAAATGGAAGCAAACTTGGGCTTCAAGTCTGCAAATATACAAATGGCATTTTGCAAAGGGCAAATAATCTTCTTCAGAATATTTATGTCAACAACATAATGTGCTCCCATGGTGATTTCTCTGGCATATGGTTTCATCTGTCTGAAACATGTTTCAGAAGGGGATGCTGTATCCCTCACACTACTCTGTAATCTAATTTAACAAGTTGAACGAGTAAGCTTGGCTTACTGTTTTACCTCCACACTCTCTCTTCTAGAAAAGCTCAATAAAATGAAATGTTGTCACAGCTGTTATGTAATGTTTTTCACCTTCTTACTCACTGAACTTTGAAGGATACTGGCACTTCATTTCTCTATGTCCAGTGTATCTGTTAGCAGCAATAGAAGCGGAGCTTGACATTTGCTCCCTGATTTGCACCATATACAACTAGCATTCATCAGAACAGGAAGGGCAATTCACTTAGCACTGCAGGGTTAACTGGAGAGAGGTATGATGGTCAGACCTCAGCACAGGGGAATGTGCTGATTTCTGTGCCACCAGGCAACATAGGGACAACACAGAGGCAGTGCATAGCAGAGGTGATTTTGTCTTGGTGGTCAAAGCCATCATTGCATACAACTGGCCCTCAAGTGTGCTGACTACAAGATTGTTTTTACCTAAGGGGACTCTGGCAGGAACTGCTCGACGGTCAATCCAGAAGGACACCCAGGACAGCATAACCATGAGAGTGGCGGGGAAGTAGGTTTGGAGCAAGAAGAAGAAGATGTGTCGACGCAAGGTGAAGTTGATGTAGAGACGATTGTACCATCCTGTGGAATGGGGAGAAGGAAAAAGGGATGTCACACCACCACCAAACTACTTTCAGATAAGGTGTTATATCAGTGGAACAGCACCATATTTGCTTTTAGGAAAAGAATTAATAATCACAGATCATTGCAGTTTACAGAAGAGACTCCTTACTGAACCAACTGTCATACTCACAACACCTCTCAGGATCACATCTTCCAGAGAAAATACAAGCTGTACATTCAGGGATTGTAATTCACATTAAAGTTTGGTGTGCTCTCGAAGAGGTATTATCTTTCCAGACTATCTAATCTAATGATGGAAGTCTAAAGGTGGAGTGGCCAAGGATACAAGTCTGCAGCCCTTTCCCCTGGCCTCTGCTAGGGATTCTAGTACCCACCTGTGCTGCTATAAAAGGCAAGTTTTGTGGTAGTGTGGAACTCCTGTATCAGGAACTGGGACAGCGATATCCTCTCATCCGTTTTTAGGGAATCGTTTCCATTTTTCCAGTAGAGCATGAGGTCATCTTCTGTGTAGGCATCTAGGGAAGCAGAGAAAGCCTCAGCGCAGTGCAGTGAGCCAGCTAAGTTGTGCTCACACACTCTTTCAAGGCTACCTATGAGTTTCCAGCTAAAAGGGACAGTGCCACCATTTGACTGGAATCTGCAGCATTGGTGGGTATGGCTGCAGCAAAGAATGGACAGGCTTATCATCACAGTGCTCAGTACTGATGCATTTTGTAAACATTTTTGTTTCTCTTACCATGATTTCACACATATAATTGGCATATCAGGTTACCCACCACATCAGAAATTGTCCCATTCTAAAATCAGAAGCGAAGGAAAGGAGAGAAAAGAGGATAACAGGAGGAACAGCTATTATCAGTGGTCTGAGGCATGCAGGAGGACAGAATCTTGAGTAAACCTTCTGTCTGTAATGCAGATATGAACATTACAGGTCTTGGTTTTTTAATGCATATGGAAATATAGTAATATTGATTCTTTCAGATGGGCTTTAATAATAGCCCTTCCCAGACAGAGAGGAAAAAAAATTCTGTAATAACTTTATTCAAATATAACTAAGATTGCAATTGTGTATTTCAGATTTAAGAAGGGGAAGAAACAACTCTTAAAAAGCTAGAAGTTTGAAATGTAGTTGTACAAAATGCAGGACAATTGCATGTAAACCATACCTGGGATAAAGCAGCTATGTATAAGCTGGGTTTGTCACTCACGGATGTAAGAAACACCAAGGGAAGGTGATTGGTTTGGCAGCTCCATCGTGGTTCCTAAACCACAAATGAGCAGATGTGCATGGGAAGGGCTCAAAGCTATTTGATTCTGTGTTAAGAGCTGTGGTGCAGGAAGGTACTTGGGGAAGTGGGTGCTGCCCCACACCTGCAGACTGCAGGCGAATAACCCAGTGCCCTCTGGGGATGGGATTGCAGCAGAGCAGCCCAGCTGGATTCTGGGGACACTGGCAAAACGGCACTCACAGCTGGCATTTATAAACACTGCCTTGTTGCAAAAACCATCTAATTCTAGAGAAAAATTACAGGCAGAGAATTTTTCTCAGTGTTGAAGTTCTCTGCCTATAGTTGGAGCCCTCATGAATGTAGCAGTTGCTGGTGAATATAATTAAACACCATTCAGGTCCCCACAGGGTGCAGCACTCAGCTTCCCTATGGCTCTGCTTACTTACAGCTTTCAATCTCCAGGGAGCACGTCTGTGTGTCCAGGGGAAATCGACTAAAATCCATGTTGCACATTGCTGTTACTGTAACTCTAGGAACAATAAAAACCACCTCATTAAAAACTCAGCTTTGTGTGTGACTGAAAAATAGTAAAGCTGCAAGATGTTTTTGAGTGACTACTTGGTCACTGGCAATAAACACCTTTCGTTTAGCTAAAGACATTCCAGTGAAGTTAGAGCTATTTTTTCTTCACAGCAAACCAGTGTTAAAAAAGGTGGCTAGAGAGTTTGGCCATAATAAATTGCTACCAAACAACACAAATAATGGAGAAGAAAATGGGGAAGGACAGAGAGAGGACACTTTTTCCCTTTTGGTGTCAGATCTCTGCAGAGATCTGTGCTTCCAACAGCTGCTTTGCACAATAGAGTAATTTGGGTTTGTCAAAGCCCAGTGCCACGCAGGATGCGGGCAGTTTTCTCCATGCACCATGACTTCCATTTGCTCAGTGAAAGCCCAGTGATGGCCCATGGGTGTCAGCCAGCAGAGGGCTCAGGCAGTGCCTCCAGCCAGGGCTGAAGCTGGTGCACATCCAAGACCACTGAAATGCTCCACCTCATATATCAAAAACCCCAGCCTTACTGTAGTCTGATTATGTCATTTTTAATAGCACAAATCTGTGTTTGCACTGGAAGGATCTGTAAGTCTTTACTCCACTGGCTTGAACTCTAGGGAAGTAAATGAACATAAAAACATAAATTGCAATGTGGAAAGAGTTAATGAATTTTAACAGGATTAAAGCTCAACAGGCAACTGTCAGATAATGATAAAATCAAGATGCAGTCTCTTATGTTAGTACTCCTTACGCATGTCTGAGTTCATGTTGCTTCCCTATCTGGATTTTATCTTAGAGTGAAGCTGCTTTTGGCTCAGATTTACTGCTTAGGTGCCAGTGAGGTCTACAGTGCTTTCCAAGAAAAGAGAAGATGTCTGGTAAGAGCTTTAAAAAGGCAGACACCAAGGAAAAAAAAAAATAAAATATGCAGGCAAAGGCATTCAGAAAAGGCTCTCGGTTAGCAAAGACATCTTTGTTTTTAAGTATTCATATTTCTCTTCCAACCATAAAGTACTTCAGCCCGCAGTCACCAATAAATAAAATAATGAAGCACTGTCACCCCGCTATTCAAGATATTCACTACTATTTCATGCAGGCCAGTTGAAAGTAGCCTGTTAAACATAAACCTGTATATGGCAGCACTGTGTAGTTTGATATTCTTTTCCCATCATTGTTAAATTGCCAAAACACTTGCTGTGTAGATGACGTGCAGCATGTAGCTGTAGTTGAGTTTTATGTCATTTTATTGTCATTTTGTTATTGTGCTAAGGATCTGAGCAAACTTTCCAAAGACATGAAGAACACCTGAACCCTGTTTAATACACTGGAAGAAACAAAAAACTTGAGTAATGATAAGATTAGCACTATCCAGGCTGTGAATCCCAACAAATAGTATAAAAATATCAGAGAAACAAGAAAATTCCTGTCAAACAGATACCACAAAAGACTTTGTGCCTTACATTTTTTGGACTGTTTCCTTCTGTAAAAGGAAAAATACTTTGTCAGGCTGAGGAGTAGAGCTCAGCCCTACCTCCGCCACTCCTGGAGGTTATTAATGTGCTCTCAAAGACCTCCACAATCATCCCAAGCAACATGTTCTGCAGCCTTATCATTAGTCAAAGTTAAATCTATGCTTCTTGGTGCTACTGACCTCCTACAGTCAAATTTTTCTTCTTTTTGTCCTTTAGAATACACTATCTATCTGCTGTTTGGCTTATTTATCTCATGTTTTGCTATTTCATTGCTATGGGGCTGATGTTGACATTCTTGCATCAGAATATTGTACAGCAATTTCCTCTCTCATAGGTTTTTATGGGTCATTTGGCAACACTTGTTTTGTAACTGAATGGAACTGCAGGCATGAAGAAGCAGCACTGATTTTAGTTTCTTTTGGAGAGTGACAGATGCTCCTGAATTAGCATCTCCACACACGAAAGCAGCAGTTAGGAAGAAGAAAAATCCTGCTTTAATAATCTTCAGTCTTATGGTCAGCATGGTGAGGCACCTGATTTATGTTTGAAACATGAGATCACTGCTATGGAAAAGAGGGAAGGGGAAGGGAAGGGACACAAACTTCCTAGGAATTAAGCTTCAGTCCTACTTCTCACTCCACTTTCCCAATACCCCCCCAGCTGTTCTCCCTGGACATATGAGCATTTTTCTTATGATAAAGGAAGAGCCTCTTCCTCATGATGTCAATGGCTAGTCAGTGCATTCACATTTAAAATTTTTTTTTAATGTGAAGTCATGTGGAAATGAAATACAGGAATCAATTAAACCGGTTTCTCTCTCATACCACTAATGGCTCACACTGACCAAATGCACTTTTACCTGAGGCTATAAAGTACCTTCCCATCTGGCTGGACCCGCAGCATGACATTGTCAGTGGTGGTGTCATGGATGAAGGAACGCTTGGAGTGGACAAAGAACATGTCAGGGACCCAGATCTTCTTCACCAGCCTGCCGTCAAATGTCATGCTTTGGTTGTTGGTGCTGGGGAAGGACAATCTCTCATCTTTCCAGTAATGCCTCAGATAAAGTGTCATGGTAAAGTCCTGCAACAAAAAATATTGTGTCACAACTTATGTCTTATCAGCCAAACTGCACCTGACAAACCTGTTCATGAGAGCACATCCACTCTCTAAGATACAGGGAACATGAGTTAAGAAATGTTCAGAAATCAGCCACCATTCATCCAGAGGCAAATTTACCTCTGAAATTCAAACATTTTCATTTTGCTGTCTGTGAGTTTCTCCAGGGACCAAAAGGCAGATACACAGAGGCAGCTGTCAGCAATGAGCACTACCAACAATTTAACCCTCCATCCCTATGATGCTGCATTTCTGGAGTTTAGAACAACTGCTCCAACAGCTGCTATAGCAATTTTCTTATTCTGGACAGCTAGAGAAGCACAGCAGAGAGAGTTCTTCCTCCAGCATAGCAAATGAAATGTTTCTGACTCAGTATTTGGCTGCAATGTTTTATTTTGTTCTTAGGCTGCCCATGGAGGTGGCTCAGTCACCATCCTCACTGGATGTGTTTAAAAACAGTCTGGATGTTGTGCTCAGGGACATGAGCAGAGGGTTGTTAGTTAGGGTAGTATGGTTAGGTTGTGGTTGGACTTGATGATCTTTAAGGTCTTTTCCAACCTAAGCTATTCTATGATTCTTCGATTCTGCCCACATACTGCGCATTCAAGATCTAAGGCATGATCATACTCCTTGTTCACTATGTTGTATTTTGAGTCTGATCTCAGTAGGGCATCTGCTTGGGTTTCTCTTTTTTTCAAATAAATTGATCATGTATCTGATGAAAAATGCATGCACAAGTTTTTATAAGTATGGTATCTTAGAGTGTAACATAATACATTGGCCCTAATCTAAGGGAAGTTTGTCTAACACCTGTACTTGTGCAAGGCATTTGACACTGTCCCACACAAGAACCTTATCTGTACACTGAAGAGACATGGATTTGACAGATGGACAACTTCAGTGGGTAAAGAACTGGCTGATGAAGACACTCAAAGTGTTATGGTCAACAACCTGATGTCCAGGTAGATATCAGTGAGCATGGCATAGGACAAGGGGTAAAGGCTTTAAACTAAGGGAGTGGATTTAGATTAAATATTAGGAAGAGGTTATTTACCAGGAGGGTAGTTAGGCACTGGAACAGCTGACATGCACACGAAGCAGCTGCCCAGCAGAAATTGTGCTGCCATACAACTGTGCCCCTCATTGAAACAAGGAGGAGGTGAGGTGGGTGCTCTTAAGAGTACAGAGATGTCTGAGCTTTCTGTGAAAGCTTCAGAGCTGTTCAGTGCATCTGCTGGAGCAGCAGAACAGTTCTGAAAATATTTTATAAATGGGGTGTGATTTTTTGTTCCAAAGCTAAAGCATAGCTGCTTAGAGACCCTGGAAATGCTTTAACAGGGCAAGTCAGGGCAAGGGTTACAGGGCCCTTCTCATTCCCATTCTCATTCTGTGGGTATTTCTGTTCTCATGGTGTTGCTGCCACATGACAAGTATGCTCTCACCAGGGTAGTTCTCAGGACAGATTCTGGCTGGGACCAAACTCTCCCCTGACCTCTTCAGAGCATGGCCAAAGTGAAATCTTATTGGCAATATATCAGAGCACCTTAATCCTAACACAGTAATTGGTCTCCTTGGAGCTTTTATGTGCTATCACTTCTCAAGAAAAAATAAAAACTCAAATCCTTTGAGGCAGTTTTGGCAGTGTTCTATCACTTTGTCTTTCTTAGAGAAAATGTCAGATTAACTTTCATTCCTTTTGCTTCAAAACATTTAGAGGGATGAAAAGATGAGGTCAGTAGAAGTAATTGCCAGCAGATTCACTTCAAACAAAGTGCCCAGGAGACTGGAGTCTCCATCCAAGGAGGAATTCAAATCCAAAAGCCAGCCCCAAGCAATCTGCTTTATCTCACCCTGCTCTCAGCAGGTTTAGGACTAGGTGGTTTCCAGCAGTCCAGTCCAGCCTCAGCCCTTGTGTGACACTTACCATATCCACCTCAGAAATGCTGTCCAGACTTTCAACTTGGACATCCACCCCTACAGGAATTGCAGGACCTTGTAGGAAAAAAAACAAAACAACATGCAAAAGTTGAGGAAGTATAAGCCTGATGGGATAAAGTTTTTGCATCTTAGAAAACAAATATTCAGTCTAGAATAAGCAATTGGAATTCATAACAAAAACCGCCTAATAACAATAAAATTCAGCAGTGAGAATGACCTATTACTAACTTTCTCCTTTTATTCTTACAGCCTACATCACTTCAAAATGTAAAAGTAAAGTCTCCAGTGCTCGAGGTTATTGCTTGTCGTACAGATGCCCACAGAGCTCCTATGTGCATAGAGAGCAGAGATGGTACAGCTAAGGGCATGTGAGAGATTTACTCCAAATTTTCATCACTTTCTCTGCTCACCTCTCAGGCTAATAAACTGCTCTGCATATTTGGCTTTCAGACCACTCACTGCTTGGCTGTGGAAAGGGGAAGGTGCTGGGTAAGACTATAGTACAGGACGCAGGTGTGTGCCATGGAGCTGAGGTCACATCCCATAATTGGGATTTTCTTTTTTTTTTCTTTCCTCCAGACTATGACTAGCCCCTCACATACCTCTGGCAATTACAGTGCGGGAGAACTGACGAGATAAATAATGCTCACATTAGTGGGTTGCTGTGAAACTGAAACCTTTTTAAATTAATTGAACATGCTGGTATTTGGTATATTGAGCTTTTAGCAAAAAAACTTACTTTCATGTGAGTATATAATGGTATCCTGGATTTGAATGACCATCTGTCAGCCAGAAAGGGTAGATAAATTTCATCATTCTCTAATCCACAGGCTGAAAGAAAGCATGTTCCCCTTCATCCTGTTCCCTTAAAGCTCTGGTTGCTGTACAGCACAGCCACAAAACTGTGAGCAAGCATTAGCACACAGCAGTCGAAATATTTTCTTTGGTGTTAAAATGAAACAGCCAGATCAGCAAACATGGTACGTGATTTGATTATGCACACAAATTGCCATAGGAAGCCACATCTGTAGAATTTCCCCATCATTTAGGAATACATGCAAAGTGTGTTTGGAGGTTTTATCAAAAGAAAGTGTCATTGAGTATCAGGAATATTACATTGCCTCTAATCATATCTCCATGACTTCAGTTGTTTGTTTTTCCAAGGAAGAAGGCCATTTCATTGCACCACTATCCCCCCACGCATGCTATGAATTTACAGCGAAGACACAAATTAGAGTAAGAAAAGGCTCTGCCAGTCCCTCTGCTCGTTGGCCCGACTAAAAGCTACAGTATAATGAAGTGATAGTGCAAAATAGAAACAGTAACAAATGTGTAGATTGTGTACCTCCAAAACCTGGTCTCATGCTGAAGTCATGGTCATCTATTCGCAGCAGCTGTTCTGACTTTGTCAGTGGAGATTTGGTGATGTCAGGGCTTCGCTTTAGGATTGGACTACTAGGAAGAGAGAAACACAGCTATGAGCCCTGCACAGTTCATGGGAGAGATACTGACCCACTTCACTCCAGTCCAAAAATGAGAACCAGCTCGTGTTCATGTTCCCATTAAGCCATAGCCTTGTGAATGTTTGCAGTGCTTGGCAGCATGGCATTACAAAATGACCCCCATGCTCAATACGGAGCACTTAGACATCTGTGATAATTCTGACACACTGAGAAAACATTTGTTTTGTGAGTTTTTGTCTTTGTAAAATTACCTGTGGTTATAACACAGTTTGAATATAATCATTCAAATATATGTCCTAGAGAAATTACGTGTGTGGGTAAGTGAGGAAATGGAAATAAGAGACAAGATTTCTGACATTGATTTCTGACAGGATGTGAGGCCAGGAATTAGGGAAACAATATATAAAATAAGCTACTGGCTGTTGCCCAGGAACAAAATGGAGACAGGCTGGGAACCAGGCCAGGAGGCAGGCCATCCCCTAACTGGGGATAAACTGATTAGCTCCTGCTCCAGTTTTCTAACAAAGATAAAAAGGAGCATTAAAGACAAGAGAGTCAGGGATGGTCCTTGCAAAAGCTGTTGGAGCTGCACTGAGCACTAAGCAGAGGATGCTCTGCTCCTCTTTCAAATCCACCTCTGAGAGTGAAAAGCACTATTTGACTCCCCAGCACCTTGGCCAGGATGGGAGCTGCAGCAGCTCTTCTCAGCTACGCCATGCCTCTGAAGCATTGCTGCACTCTGAGCAGCCACATGACAGCTGCTAGGGCAGCAGGAGAGCTCAAAAACACGAGGAAAGATTTTGCTGTTTCTTCATTTGAAAAAAAGATGATACGCTCCAAGAGACATTTATCTGACTGTGTGGAAGATGAGTCTGCAATAGATCAAAGAGACACAGGACAACAAAGAAACTCGACAGGGAATATTTTCCTGTGATAAAACTCTTCCTAAATGAGATTGCTTAACCGTGCTGTACTTCTCAGAGGCCCACAGGCAGTGGAACCACAAGATATCAACATAACAATCTCCTAACAGAGGCTGGACTACAGAGTATCTTTCAAAGATGCTCAGTCTCAATTTAATAATTTATAGGGGTGACGAGCCTACATGCATTGGTGAACTCTTCAAGTTGTTACTTATCACAAAGGACACTTTAAAATGTGGTTCTTTCTTCTGCTTTGAATCTGTTTAATTCAACCTCTTCCCATGGCACTCTGCCCCTATAATAAAAGTGTCTGCACAAATGTGAAGCCTACTAACCAAAATAATTTCTAATCTCTCTGCTAACAGTGATTATAGCGTATTTTTACTGTCTTGATGAAAAGCTCATTTCCCAAGTATTGAATTGTTCCTGTAGCTCTTCCTATTTGTCAGCATCCAGAAAGAAGCAGGTGAACAAAAGGAGTAAAGTAAGGAGTAAAGGAACAAGAAAATAAACAGAAGTGTTTAGTATCAAAAGGTTTGCCTAGGAACCTCAGTTGTCAGGCAGTGGCATAGGAGAAAGGGAATTATTTGGATAGTGGACAGAGGGCATAATTCTGAGCTATGGAAAGACCCATGAGATTGCAAACATTCACTGGGGAAAGTTTATACCCAGCTGAGACAAGGGAATGTTATTACCAAGTCACTAGCAAAGCCTCAGATATTTGTGAGCGGTCTTGATTGCTGATGCTCAGAACAGCACTTTCTCCCCGATGTAAGCAGAGGGAATGGTGAGCAGTGTGATGGAGAGCCAGGAGATAGGCTCCAAGGGAAGGGAAGGTGCAGGGCTCTGTGTCAGCAGAGGGCCAAACAAAACTGCAGCATCAGCTAAGAACAAATGTTAGGATTAAATTAGGGGCAAAATTAATGTCTCTAGCCAACAGAGCAGGAAGGCTCTGCTTTCCTTAAGGTGGGACTGAAGAGTATGTTTCTTTCATTTGTGGCAGGGAGATGGTCCTTGTAGTTACTAGGGATGAGATCTGGTCACTGGAAAGTCCCTCTCCTTCCTAGGCTTTTAGAGACTGCACATTGGTCCTCCCATTTCACACAGGGTGGTAAGCACATTTCCTTGCTCCCTGCTTTTGAGTACACTTATACATCATACATTTCATGGGTTTACTCATTCCAAAGTGCATCCCTCACCCTTTGGGACCACACCCTTTGGGACCATGCCTTTACTCAACCACATTTGGCATGTTGCCCAAGTAGGCTATTGGCCAATATTGTTTGGGATGATTGACCAATCCTACAATTACTTGCCTCCCCACTAAGCTTTATATTCTTTGTAAGCTTCACTAGCAATTCTTTCATGGGTTTTATCATCCTGTTACTCAAAATTCTGAATAACAGCAGTTGATAATAGATTTCTTTGCATTTCTGTTTTAAACAGCTTGCTTGGAGATAGTCTTCCATATACAATGAGATTCTGAGAAACCAGCGCCACAGTTTTTAATCTATTTATAATGGATTTATAATTTGTTTGCATGATACTACTGTCTAGTGCTAAGGTTTAGATGTATCTCCTGAATATATATCAAATACTTCATGGCTGCCTGACTCCATCATATGGCCATTCTGGCCTTTGTCACATTTGCCAGCTTCCCATAACAGTTTCATTTGAAATATAAGGAGGATATTTTTTAGAATTACATTTCTAAACTTAATAGAAATGTATTAATATATGTATAATAGAGCTTTTATTTTTAAAGTTTTGCAGTAATTTTTAAAGTATTTGCAGGAATGGCATTACGGGGGGGCTTTTAGCATTTTCAATTTTTATACCCATTTTTTATGGCTATAGGGGTTTTTATTTTTCCTGCCACTGAACTCAACTTCTCACTTTAGAACTATGCCTATGATATTGGGAATCACTTTTGCTCATCTTAATTTTTTGGCTATGTCCTTATTACAGTGGCTCATTTTAAAAGCTTGAAAACTCCAATATAAGTATGAAGTCAGAAAAGTATGGAGTATGAAGTGGAAAAAATATTTTTGGATTGAGTTGTGATTTTTCTTTTGTAAAAATGTGAGAAGATATGAGTGGTGTTATTTATTTTGGATAAACTTGTGAAACCAATAGTTTTTCTTCTATTTTAGATGAAAGAATGAGGATTTAATTTTATTGGTTATTGTTATGGGTTTTTTTCCCTTCAATTTCTTTTTTCCCTTCAGATTTTCTATTTTCAACTTGGTGAAGAGGGACGGGTATACAATCAGAATAGAAAGGTGAAAACACTTCTATTCCACCAGAAAGCATGCAGAAAGCATGTTTAAATTTAAAGACATTTCCCCCTGGGAGATGAAAGCTATAAAATGTAGATTATTATTATTCCAACTTAATTATTTTTGGTTGTTGTTTTTATACTCTTTACTAAAGTACGGAAAAATACTGAAAGTCAAAATATCTTTCAAGTAAAACAGTTGGATTTGTTGTCATTCCGCTAGATCAGTTTAAAACTAAGATGGGGGAAAGTTGGAGGACTTTTTTTGTATGGAGTGATGCACTTTACGATTTTTTCACTTCTAAAAAAGTGAAAAGTTACCTCCCCCAGAGGCAAGAGTGGAAGTCTCCTGGGGTCTGGGCTCTGCAGCTCTGGGAGCAGGAGATTTTCAGGGCACGCTGCAATTCTGCACCAACTGGGCCTGGCTGAGCTGCTCCAAATTCAGGTGTCTGACTATGGCTGTGCTCCATGCCATGCTGGGCAGGTGCCAGTGGCCACAGTAGTGACCCTGAGTGGAGGGGATTATACCTGACCTAAATACTGCCTCGCACCTGACACAAATCACGCAGCACTGCTGTGTGAAGCCAGGGGGCCATGCAAAACGGTATCTAAGCATGGCTCTTCAAGGGGAATTTGGCTTCCTTCAAGCCTCACTCAGCTCTGTCAGTGGTGTGAATCCTGTTTAGAATGTTTGTGCTAGATTGTTGTTAAAGGCTTTGGACAGTTTTGCTCCCCCTGCTCTGCTGACGTGGTGGCTGGGCCTTCACCTACCTGCCCTGCTTGTGTGCCTCGCCGTGGGCTTCTCGTCTCTGCCGCTGGAGCCGGCTGCAGGGAGACAAGAAGAAAAGGGAGAGCTGAAACAGCCTGTTATAAGGAGACACAGCTACCATCACACTGTTTAACAATGCTGGGAGGAAAACGTGCTTGGGAGGGAAAAACAAAAATTCAGCAGCGTTCCATTTTGTAGTTCTGGAGAATGCTTTTACCTTTTCATCAAAGGTTGGTAAAAAGGCCTGCTCTTCTCACAGCCCTTTTGCTATCTGAGGAATCATAGAATTGTTATGGTTAGCAAGACCAATAGGGTCATCCAGTTCAACCGTCAACCCATGCCTGTGACCAGAGGGCAGAGACAGGGGTGGTTTTAGAAAGAAAATACTTTGGGCAGCTTCTTCGGTGCTTGGACACAGACATAATGCAGCAAAATAAGCAGAAAGGGTTTTGTTCTACTCAGGGAGCTGTGGAGGCCCTGGTTCTATCCCTCCATGTCACACCCCATGCAGGTTACCTAATGGCATCCACTGCGTGGGGACCTGCTATGTTAGTGGTCCTGATGGGACAAAACAACAATAAGCCCTTTAAAGATTCAAACCCTGGCTTGTCAGCTAACAAAACAGGGCATCGTGTTAACAGACTCATTTGCAAGTCTTCGTTTTATCTTATGTAGGGAAAGACTTTTATAGGTGTACACACTGGCAAAAAAAAAGAAAGAAAGAAAGAAAGAAATACAACGTAATCAAAGCCACAAAAGAATAGGAAAACTTGGGTTTAAGCAATTCTTTTTACACATTGCATCATTCAACTAAAGCAATTGAATATTTTCATGAGAAGACATCCTCTGTCAAGTATTCCAGGGGAAAAAATGAAATAAATTTTAGAACTTTGTGTTCCTGTTTTCGTATTCTCTTGCAGCTGGCTCTTGTGAGAGTCTCTGTTCCTTTCTAGTGTTGGGACAATGTTGTATTTTATCATTAGAGCAAATAATGTGTCAGCAATATAAATGCTTGTTTGAGTAAAAATAGCATTTTAAACATTTAATTCTTTCAGCTGATTTTTAATTAAAAGTTTAAAAAATTAGCTTATCTCTAAAATAAACACTAGCTCTGCTCAACTCTGCTAATGAGACTTTTTGCCCATTAACATACATTTCAGATCCAATCTTGAGACTGGCAGAGGAAAAGCTTCATTTGCAATCACTGTCACCAACCAAGTGCCATCATCCCTGGGGTGAATGGAGGCCAAACATCAGGCTTTGTGGGCTGATTTTATCTTAGGATGGGAGCTCTCTGGCGCTAATGACGTTGTAGGAAAATTCATGTTGCTGCGTTGTAGACAATCTCCATATTGCCCAGGCTGGTGGTGGGCACAGGACCCTGAATCACCCTGAAATGAAGCATTTGCCAGGTGAGATTGATTTCTTGATGTAATCTGTTGTGTTTTGTAGAAGAGGGATGAAAATAAATCCACATGCAGACTCTTCTCTTCGGGAGCTTTGAGCCATATAGCACCATTTCTTGTGTAAGAAGCAGCTTCTTTGGTGCTTGGACCCAGACATAATGCAGCAAAATGCACTTGAAAATGCAAAATGCACTTTTTTGGAGACTTCTACCTTCTTGATATGCCCTTGGGCTGCTGCTGATGTGTCTTACTGCTGCACACTTCTTGTTTGACGGCCATAAGAAAATAATATCACTTGTTTTGGGCATAAGCAGATTCTGATGAAGAGCTGACCTACCTACATGACTTTAAGATGCCCTAGTAAAGTCTTTGCTTGTTGGTTGTAATGTTGATATTCAAACAGGGATTAAGTAATTCATCCTCTTCCTTTTTCTTCATTCCTTGTTGCGGAGCTGATCTAAGGCTTCTTATTGGCTCTGATCCTATCCTGACTTCTGAGGGGGCCCTCAAAGAGTGGCCATCAAGAATTTGTGGCCAAATCCTATCTATCCTCTGCACCTGGCAAACTCATGTAAGTTTCTCTTCCAAGTAATTCTCCACTGACCCTATATACTAAACTTTATTTCTGTACTACAAACCAGTGAAAAAATCTCACATGCTCCAAACACTGTGTTCATTTGTGCTTTGGTTCAGTTCCTTAACTTCTTAACAGCTCTGATGTTAACAAGCTTGCCTCACTTTTCTGCCTCCTCCTTTAGCAGAAAAACTTGTGTACCTATTGCCAGCCATTTCCCAGTTACTGTGATTTGAAGCCCTATCTTTTTCTTCTCAATGCATAGCATTTCTGTTTTGCTTTCTGGGAATGTTCTGCTGACTTAGTGATCATCAGCAGCTACATTATGGAACCCAATTAGCCTGCCTGCTTGGGCTGTGAATCTGTCGAAAGGTGCAATGCACTCCCCACAGCATTCACTGTCCCTGCATTTTTGCAGCACTTAACTGCAGTCAGGAGTTTTGGTCCAGTCATTGCATACAGACTACTTGGTGCAACTCTTTGCCAATATGGCTACACGAATTGACCATAGTGCTCTTGCCTTCATTTGGATTACAGGTTGTCTTTAAAACTAATTGATAGCTGTAGAGGTAAAATATACTGAATAATCATAAAATCATAGAATGGCTTAGGTTGGAGGAGAACTTTAAGATCATCTAGTTCCAATTCCCCTACCATAGGCAGGGTTGCCAACACTGGATCAGGCTGCTGATGACCCCATCCAACCTGGCCTTTGGTGCCTCCGGGGCTGGAGCATCCATAGCTTCTCTGGGCAGCCTGTGCTAGCACCTTGCCACTCTCTGAGCAAAATATTTTTCATAACACCTAACCTAAATCTACTCTCTTTTTGTTTACATTTCTTCCCCCTTGTTCTATCAGAATAATGAACAAACATTTTTTATTATTTCTGTGCTGATATTTAACTCCTAACAGCTATCGTGTCAAAAGGAATTTTATGGTTCTCTTGAAAATCACTTTATGAAAAAACAATACTCATCACTGGATCAGACTAGTTTTATTCACTGTTCTCCCTGTTTGGTTTTGTTTTTTTGTTTTTTTTGCATTGCATTGCATGAGCAGCTCTCAGGCCCTTGGTGGCACCTGGGTGATGCAGCCCCTCCAAAGTCATTATTGTCCCAGGTACCCCCAGTAGGTGAGTAAACCTTAGGACTCCAAGAGAAGAAAACATTCAGCAAAAGAGCTGTACATTTTTTCATATACACAAAGCAAAACAAAGTTACTACTCAAAAGGAAAAAAAAAGCCTGAGATTTACTATGGCACTTCTATTCCCTCCAACAGAGCAAAGAGAGCTGCAGAGTTAGGGATAGCCATGTCTGTTTTCAGAAGAGATGGTCCAAACACAGCAGCTGATGGACGCAGCAACCATTTCTGAATGCTGTGCTTCAAAGCATGTGTGCCAGAGGAGTGCCAGGTTCACACTGTGTACCATACTACCCTCAATATTCTTCATCATTTAAATGAGAGCTTTTGAAGGCAACAAGTTTGAGAGAAGTCATTACATATCCTTGCATCTTGGTTTGTAATTACTTATGCGGGACAGATTTCCTATCTTTAAATCATACTATATTTTCTCTATAGGAGGCAATATACCTCTAGCAGACAGTGATCAATTTTGCACTCTTAGGATAATCTTATTGGGATCTGAGAATATTTCTTCCTTGAGGAATTAAATCAAAACACAGCTTTACTTCAGGAAAAAAAACAAGGAAAAAGTGAAGGTAAATTGACGAAAAATATTATGGACATGAAGAGAGGAAGGCTGCCAGTGACTTGGCTGCTCGTCCAAGGTGTGGGAGCAATTTCCACTTCTGTTACAGAACCAAGAGAAAGCTTGCAAATCTCCCTGTGCCTTGAATAATCATAGGAGCTGACAAGGGGCTGTAGCATTTGGTTTACTGCGCCATTTACTCCTTCCTATGTGAATAGGGGTGTCCCCTCACCACAGAGCAGTGCTGGGTGGAGGTGCTGCCTGGCCCTGGAGATGCGCTGCCCAGCATGGTCCTATCTGACTTGGTTAATCTCCTTGGTGTGTCCCAGAAGGAATGAAAGCGGTTTAGGAGGAAGAACAGTTCTCCTGTATATGCTTTTGACTTGAAAATGAATTCAAACCTTTAGAGCAGGCTGGAGCTGTTGGTGGGCAGATGGTACAGCAGGCCTGGGGGGAAGGCTGGGAGGCAGTTCAAAGCCCAGAGAAGTGCTCTGGGAAAGGAAGAAAAGTGGTGCAGCTAAACCAGGAGAAAGCACAACCAGTAACTTTGAGCAGGAAAAGGCACACTTGCAGCAGGAGACAGATGCATGAAATATAGACTGAATAAGAATCCAGTAGCATACATGGCAAGAGATGGGATACACTGTATAAAATACCAATTTCCAGGGATAATGTGAATGGAAGAACGCTAATTTGTGCTTAAACTGGGAGAATGACCAGTTGTGAACCATAGAAAAGCAACTAAAAACTGAGGGAAATTAATCACAAAATGTATTTTATCTCGTCATGTGGCAGCTCTTGTTTGCTTGTAATTATGTTGGGTCTTGTGTCCTGGTTAGTGGGTTTAAAGATGTTGTAGAAATGTCACCTCTTGCTATTGTATGGGGCTACGTCTGAAAAGAAATGAGCAGAGATGTTTTTTGTATTCACATCACAAAGTCTGAGAAACAGTGGGATTCAAAGCCATCTTATTTTTGAATGATATAGAAAATTCAGTGTGAATGACATTTTAATCCAGTATTACTAGAATACAGATAAACTGTAGAATTTAAAATATCCTAAGGCAGAAGATGCAGAAGCACCTTTTAAGTTCTGAGCTTCCTTTGTTCTTTGGCTGGTCATGAATGCTTGCAAAAGTAAAAAATAACAAAGAGACTTCCTGATTTGTCAGAAAAATGCCACGTCACCTGAGGTCTTGGCACTGTGCCTGAAGTGGCAAAAAAAACGTTTCCCTTGTGTGGCAAAAACTGCACCTAGTGGATGGGCATTTGTTGGGTTTTTGAAGAAACACTGATTTGTGAACATCTGGCAGGACAGTGTAGGCCAGGGAATGGCATGTTAAAGAACATGTAGGTAAACTAGAGGTATTTAAATCAACTGAGGCTGATGGCACATCCTCAGAAGTACCCTGAGTATCAGCCACTCTCCAAGTCATTAGCAGATACCACCAAGGACTCCTCACAGTTTCCTCTGAGAGAGGGGGAAGGGAAACACCAAACCCAGTTTTAAGCAGGGAGGAAAATAAGGATGTTGAAGTTTTCACGTTTGGAAACAAACTGGGACAAATTCATTATCTGTTTGTACATCCCTCTGGGGATAACGAGACTATAAAGATCACTCAATGTGAATCTTTACAATAATTGATGTCAAATGGTCTGATGTCCTGATGGTGTAACTGGATGCCTTAGTGTGAGTAAGAGGAAAAGTAGATTTGAGTGAGGTTTTAAAAATTTCATTACTAATCTAGAGAATAAGGTTTAGATGAGAGTGTGACTGAGCATAGTTGAAAGACAGTTGTTTGGGCAACTGCCATTACTTTGCTGTCAAGCTGCAGAGGCATTTTAAATGACATCTCATGTATTTCATCCAGGGAAGCACTAGTCAATGTTTCCAATAATAATGCAGATGACAGAACTGTAAATCATGTGCATGACAGCATGATAGAAAGGAATACAGACACTTTGGGATTTAGGATCAGAATTCAAAGCAGCCCCAGCACACTGCAGGTATGAACCAGTATTTCTAAGATGAATGTCAGTTAAAGAGAATATAAAGAGCTGTGAAATACAGAAAAACAATTGTACAAATGCAGATCAAGGAATAACTAACTAATCAGCACTACTACTCTTGTCTTAATTCCTTATTTACAAGAATTAGAAGGGCAATAAAACAGGTCAATAAAACATCAACAGTTAAAGGATTTGTTTGCACTATAAAAAAAAAAAATCAAGATTTTAATAATTCCACTGTTGGGTTAATGCTAAGAAATATTTATATTTGCACAGAATCAGAGACAGATCTCGTGGACAGGACAGTAGGAAGACTACAGGCTCTCACCCAAAAGAAAGTAAGTAAGAATATGCTGAACCGGTGTTAAAATTATCCTTGATACCATAGGATATAATTTCACAACTTTATTCTTCTTTGGAAAAAGATCTCCAAGTGGAGCCAGCCTTTGGGAAGGACCTGCCAATGGGCTCCTGGAAGCTCAGGTGTACAGTGTCATCTCAATCACTTTTATCTGCAAGTTCATTAACTTTTTGAGAACTCTAATATATTTATAGAGTGTAATATCCTTCAAGAAAAGTAAATTGTCCCTCACTCTTTGTAATTTATGCTATTTACCTGCTGTCAATTACTGCTGATTTTTATTATATTTGTAGGTGATATTTCCAGTGGAGAAATCTGTAACTTCTCAGATTCCACTTGGAGATCTTTTTCCAGAGACTGGCGTGTAAATGACATGTGAATGGCTACAACAGAAAAAAAACCCAAAAGGAATAATGGAGAGTTTTTACTAGGAAGAAAGGTGGTCATTACAGTCTCCTGGGAATCTACAGTCAAATCTGTGTTACTCAATAAATCGAATAAAATTCAATAAATTGAATAAATTGGTGGGGAGGGCTTCCAGGCAGCCTCCAAATAGGGAGGGGATGTAACAGACAATTAAGGTTTATAGCATCAGGGGTGACACAGTGAAGATGAACAAAAGTTTGTTGCTCAAAGCTTTACACAACACATAACAAGAGGAAATATGAAAGGAAGTGCAGAAACACAGCACGTCACTGTGAAATTCACTCTCACCGAAAGCTGAAGGTGCAAAAAATACAAATGAGTTTGAAAGATGGCTGAGCATTTATAGAAACAGGACCAGAAGGATCGTTTCAGGTGTGAATCCAACCCTTGAATCAGAAAATTGAACAATTCATATGTAGTCAAGAGGGAGGAAACTGCCCAGCATCTCTGGGTTGGTTTGGTGGTTTGGTTTTGCCTTATGCTTGGCTGCAAATGTCTTTAGTGTCTGCTATGTCTCCTCACACTAGCTTAAAAAACACATAGGGATAATAGTGGGCTAGAGGACAGAACAGAGCTGCTGATCCTGTGCAAACAATGCAGTGGTAACACTGACTGGAGATTTTGTCATCAGTGGCTTAGTAAAGTGGCACAGTATATGTCTATGAATGTAGCTACAGAAATATCAGTAGAGACAATTTTCTAACAGAAATCACTGGAAAAGATAGAGCGCTATGTGGAGTGTAGACCCAAAAAAAGCTCTAGAAAGGATGAAAGGAGGTGGGTGATAAAGATAAGAGTAGAAAATTTTCCGTTTTCAGAGAAGTATCATTTTCAATGAGAAACAGAGAGAGGGCTCCTGCAGCTGGGTTTTGAGAAAAACACACAAAATTTCCAAGAAAAAATGCCTTGCGGGATTGAAGTTACTTGAAAGTGCAACAAGGATGGAAAGGAAAAATTAGAGAAATAGCAAAGAAAGAAGAAGAAAAAGAAAACATATAATAAAGAAAATGAGTGCTGTTGGACAGAGGAAAGTGGTTTCTGGCAAGTGGAAGAAAAGGAAAAACAGGCAGCAGCCACAAAAGAGAGAAGGAAATTACAGAATAATAATGGATAAAAGCAGCAGAAAAAAAACTTGACAGAGCTGTGTTACAGGGAAAATTGATATGTCTTGGGGTAAATAGGTGAGGTAGGTGAAGAAGAGGCTGAAGAAGTCAGGGATAAAAAAGCAGAAAGAGCAGGATGGAAAAGAGGAGGAAACATGCATGGAGATTTAAGGAGTTGAAGCTACAGAGAGGAAAGAGAAAGGCAGGAGCAGGAGAGATGGAGAAACTTCCATTGCACTGGCCTGGAGCCTGTTCTGGCTCTCTTGCTGCTCTCAAGGCACTGCAGTGCCTTTGGTGCCAGGCACAGCACGGACTGCTGAACTGAACACACAGTGCTTTGGGAGCTGTGGGTGCTCAGCACCCCACTGGATCTGGATTTCTCCTGGTAATGTGCTCACATAGACATTGCTTTCATAGGCATTTCATAGGCTTATTGTGCACTCCAAAGATCCAATCTGAATACAGCTTGCATTAGTAAGATTTGTTCATGCAAATAAATGCTTTCAGAATCAATCCTGAAGATAAGATACAACAGCAAAACTCTAGGACAAGAGAACAGCTTAAGGACCGCTGGGAAGTAAAGGAAGAAATTGTGTTAGGGGCTTGTGGGTGAATTTATGAGTCCAAATCAAACAATCAAACCTGTGGAGGCCATGAAGGCAGGAGCTGGTAACACAGAAGCCCTGTTCCAAAAAAAAAAAAAAAAAAAAGGCAATGTAATTTAGCAAATGTTCAGAAGGATGCTGAGCCTTTCAGAAAGGACTGGGAAGGAACCGCGGCCATAATGATGCAGGATGGCTCCCATCACATAAGAGGAGTGTCACTAATGGTAGTAACATTTGAAAGTGCCATAGGGAGAAAAATCCCGGGCCATGAGGGTGAACCTGAGAGAGTGTGTTGTAGAGAGTATCAACCTACTGCTGTAAAAGATAGCATTTACTGGCAGATATGGACAGGAAGATTGAGAGATTGAGAGGAGCAGAAAGAGAGTTACTATTTAGAGATTGCAGTGAGCCAGAATGATTATAACATAGACAAGGAAAGGTAGGGGCAAGACTGAAAACATGAAACAAATCTCTCAGCTGAGATTAAACAAACATAAGCTGTAAATCTTGTACAGTGAAATTTCTTTTGCTGAGAGTTTCTTGTCCAAAAGGTGGCTACAATGCTTTCCAGAGAGATTTTAGTGTTAAAAGAGATTTTTTTCCCCCAGCAGTTAGCTCTAGCAGAGCAACCTGGGCTCAGCTCCAGGCCAGTTCTTTTCCTTTTGCTCATCCTCTCTAGCAGATTCTGCAAGTCTAATTAGCAATGCAGGCTTTGGCCATTTTGTTGGCATAATGATTTTGTTGCCTTTAGACAATTGTTCCGGTGACCCCATACAACCTGGTGGCTCTGCAAGAGCCTGAGCAGTTGGGAACACAGTAAACAGCCCCTGTGCTGGCATTCAGGGTCGCAGCTTGGATCTGTAGGAGTTTTGGCACTGTGAATGTTGCAGGAATGAATTTAGCTTTGCAAACTCTACAGGATTTGCACATGGTTGACTGCAAACTGTGAGCAGGTCTGCAAGATGTGAAAGGATTTATTTTTATTTTGCTACCCTTTAAAGAGAAATTCCTTTGAGGTGATTTGTCCTGGAGATAAATAGAAATCAGTGGTTGAGTCTTTGACTTGCATATGGATATTTTGACTATGTATTACTATGTTGAGAGCCTCTGTAGAAAGTCTCATACAATAACACTCTCTAGACTGCTTCTTTCAGTGTGTGTATATGCTTCAACCTATGCTTATTTGTTACTTAATTGTCATACTTGGTCTTGTGTCTCAAAGAATCATCAACTTTATCTCAGGAATTGTTAGGAACCTTCTGAAAAATTCCTCTCTTGCAAATCTGGTCCCCAAAGGACCATGGCTCATCCTTCTTCAAGGCTGTCCTGCCTCATGCTAGAATGGCTGCTTTGGGATACCTGCAGTCACAAAAATTGTGACAAAAATGGTGTCTAACACTGCAGCCCAAATTCACACCATTCACCCTATCAGCAGAAGAGCAAAGACGATCAGACGGATTTGAGCAGATGAAAGGACAAGCCTTGAGGCTAACAACTGTTGATAAAATTGTGAGGTTTTATTTGAAATTAGAGTTTAGAGCAATAGAGTCTCTTTGGAGGAAGTTAACACCTGCAGAACATCACCATCCAAAGAGACAAACCAAAAGTGCACATTTCCTCCATCACCTGCGAATCAGGAGTGGAGTTGGACATGTCTCTCAAGGACAGCAAGAAACTGGCAGCACACTCCAGGTGGCAGGTATCTACAGCAGGTGCCCAGTCTGCCTGCCAGCACTGGTGACTAATGCTAAGCTCTGCAGGTGGGCAAGTGGAAGACTTTGTTTCTCCAAATGATTTATGGAAGGGAGAAAGGGTGTGGGTGCAAACTAAGCCAGCCTCAGTGCTCTGTGGTCATGTGGAGCCTCCCTTTTCCTCTTCAGATTGATTTGCTCCATCAGACTCCAGTGAGTCTCTTCAGAAGGCAAAAGCTGCAGTATATTTCCATCCTGGTGCCTCAAGCCTTGTGGAGCAAGAAATAACAGTGTTTGAAAAGAAGCAATGAAGTAAATTGCTGAAACAGCTTCAGGGCTGATTCTTGAGGGAAAGGGGAGCAGAGTCACTGACCAAATCTAAACCATATAAATGGTCAAGAGCAATCTTCATTACAAGTTTCTTCTGATCTTATACAGAATCCTTCTACACTCTGATTTTCTCCCAGGCTCTATTTCTGTGATGGGAAAAGGCACTTATTTTGAAATGCAAAGGAAAAATGGCTACTTCAGAACAGTCTCATATGATCAGCTTTTCAACATATTGGATCCTGCACGTGACAGCAAACAGGACTGGATGTACCTCTAGACAAGGGCTTGTGTCCTGCTACACCTGGGTGCCCAGTCATGTCGAGTGTTCATGATCTCCACTGCAGAACTGCAACTGAGACTATGAACACAGTGCCAAGAGGTCAACAGGAGTAACAGCATCTACATACAAATACTGCACCCAGTCCTGCTGGGTCTGTCTCCCTGAAAAGGTGTGAGGGGACAGAGCCAAGGAGTGGGAAACATCCTATGCTGAGAAATTTAAGAAGCTTGATATGAATATATCCAAGAGGAAATGAAGAATGGGTTTGATACACCTACACATACTGGGATGGAAGAGAGACCAGGTAGCAAAGAATAGGAGAAAACAGATGAATGCTGAGGTTAAAAAATACGTACTATTATTACTATTTTCTGTTTATCTGGCACTGAAGGTAATTATCAAAAATTAGGAGTTCACAGAGAATAATTCATATGGCAGAAGGCTTCATTGCTTGTAGTTAGAAGGAAAACCAATGGATGGCCAGAGCCATCTTTTTATTCTTATAAATGATTAGGCTGTCAGACCATTGATCTTGCATGGCCTATCCCATACTGGGAAGGCAAACACTGTACGGGTTGCTGATGGACAGTGAGCCAGTGCTGCTCTCCTGTCCCCTCCAGCCCTCCTCAGCATCAGCACTGCTCTGCTGAGGCAGAAGTAGGCCAGAAATGGCTCCTGGGCCAGTGTGGGAGTGCTGTGAGGGTGGTGGGCCTGACTTGGGATCTGCAACACCTCAGGGCAGCCTGAGAGGCTTGTGCTAGCACAATTATACCATGTGCTCCCAGAGTGGGTAAAAGGGCCACTCCCATGTGAACTGAATAGGTATTTATTTTCCATTTTCATGCAATATTAATTCTTCTGCAGTGATCTGGTACACTGCTACTTAATCACACCACTGCTATTGTGCTTGGTGCTGTGGGAGCTGGTGCTGAAGATGCTGGATAAAAGCATGGCTGGGTATACACACTCCTCCCTGCTGACTGCTTCTCAGTTAAAACTGAAGCACCTTGCTTCTCATGCCTTCCTTTTGCCATAGTCAGCATACCACCTCCACTGTCACTGCCATGAACCCTCAAGGAGAACAGAGGTTTTGAGATTTCCCCACAGATAGTGACTCTAGCAATGCATCCCTGGGGGCTGACTATGAGCAGAGCACCCATTTTGCCAGTTGTACCTCCACGAAGGTGTCATCAATGCTTAAAGCCATTTCCTGTGTATAAGATGGCTCAGGGACCCTCATGTACCACCATGACACTGCTATTGCTCTGCCTTGTTTCCCTAAGCAGTGACAGAAAGGAACGCTGGAAAATAAAAACGCACTACGCTTTCCTCCCTTCCACTTTTCAATTATTTTTTTTCCTGAAAGCTAACAGGAATTGATTGATTTCCTCAGGAATGTGGCATTCCTGCATTCCCACATTTCTATCCCCTTGCACCGTACAGTAGTGATGGCAAAATTGGAGTCATTAAAGAACAGAAACAGTGACCAGAGCAAAGCAGAGATTGCCTAGGTTCAGCCTTTCACAAGCAGAAGCTTACAACATTTCAACAGTGATCTAAATACGTCAGTTATATCTACAAAAAAAAAAAGAAAAAAGAAAAAAGAAATTTTTCTTTCCTCCAGAGATACCTTGTAATATGTCTGAGTATGAAAATCCTCATAAAATTTCAAATACTTCCCGGACAGAATGCAAATAATCAAAACAAAGTTACAAGCTAAAAACAAACAAATGCTTCCTCAACTCAAAACTTCCTAAAAGACTAAAAGACAGTGGGAGAAACACATCATATGCATATCCTTTTTGAAATAGAGAGGGAGGGAAGAGTAAACTGAATATCTTCATTCATTTTGCATATCTTCACTCAATACTGTGAATGCTCTTTCTGTTTCCTTTGATAACTGACTATACTCTTGAGGTTTGCATTTTTTTTTCTCAAAAGCTTTATTCACAAATAGCATGGGAAGAAGAAAGTAAATTCTGAATCTTTTCAATTCACATCTCCAGTCAATTTAATCTTCAGTGAATACAACAATCCTCAAGCACCTAAGTTTCCTTTCCAGTATCATATAAATACTCTACAACATTTTAACCCTGATAAATACAATCAAATGCTTCTTTTCTGCACCTTTCCAAACTTTGAGATACCTCAAAACCCCTCTTTTTTTGGGGGGGAAACGATTTTCAATACAGAAAATGCATTAGGACTTACTGATTGTCAAAAACTGCAGAAGAGAATATTTTGACTGATAAATCACAATCTGCAAATTCAAAGCAATTGATAGACACTATATTTTGATCATTAACATTGTATTTGTCCAAACAGTAGCTATTTGAATGTAAAAAAATTGAAACTCACCTGCCTTTTTTGTATACCTCGTGTATTTCTTTTCCTTGTCGGTGGACTCTGCATTCAGTGGATAAAACCCATCCCCAGAACAGCAGGAAGATGCTAAAATGCATTTTATGGACAGTCAACATGTTACCTGAAGGTTCTGTGTCCAGAAATAGTCCATACAAGAAGGAGAAAGCCAAAATGTAGATCCTGTTTCTCCTTTTAAGACATTATCGGTCTGATCGTTATTGGAAGGATGTTTACTCATACAAAAAATCATCCTGCAGTATTTAATCTGGACAGTGGGGAAAGCAATTTCCACTAAACCTATAAATCCCTCTACGTCAGATGGCAGGGATTTTCTAGCAGTGTTCATGTATTCTCAGAGAACAATTATTTTTTATCCAAACAAGCTATTTTATTAATTGGTTTAAATTGAACCCTTTTTTAGTATCTATCATAAATGGCACGTGTGTATTTCTGTCTGGTTAACCAAAGTAGTGCAGACAGGTGTCATAAGTCATTTTTAATCACCGAACTTACCTGTATATTAGTGACATTTGTCAAGGCATTTCAATAGGTTAAAAAGTGCTAATAAACATATCAGTTTGCAGCAAAAAGTCTTCATTTCCACTTTGATCTGCCGTATAGTGTTTTGATCCTCTGTGTTTTTCTAAATACTTGAACAATCAGTGGTGGTCTGACTGGAGAGGTCAGTGCAGTCAAGGTGTGGGTCACATACCTTATGGTTGAGCAGAGTCTCTGGGAAGCATACCAGTGGGGACAGAGTGGGACAGTGGGACAAAAGGACAAAAGGACAGTGAACACAGAGCTGTTTGGAAAGATCCTATCAAAGAAGAGCAGCATTATGCCAGAGCCATGGAAGAGCTCAGAGGACTGCTGTGCTGGGTCTCTTGGGGCTAACAAAATTCCTATTCTTGCCACCAAAAATATAATGGGCAGAAACACATGGTTGAGCCAGCCACATTGCTCACTTATTTGGAGCTCCCTCTCTTGCTATATTGTTCACGGTTTCATGTTTATGTCCTTCTACTCTGCATCTACTCAATACTGTCTCCCACAGTATTCTCCTGCAGAAGCTGGAAGCCTGTGGCTTAGACAGGTATGCTCTTGGCTGGATAAGGAACTGGCTGGAAGGCCGGGCCCAGAGAGTGGTATTGAATTGGAATTAAGTCCAACTGGCGACTGGTCATGAGTGATGTTCTCCACGGGTTGGTGCTGGGGCCTGTCCTCTTCAGTATCTTTATTGATGACCTGGATGAGGGCACTGAGTGCACCCTCAGCAAATTTGCAGATGACACCAAGTTGGCTGGAAGTGTCGATCTGCCTGGGGGCAGTGAGGCCCTACAGAGGGATCTGGAAGGCTGGATAGCTGGGCTGAAGCCAGTGGGATGAGGTTCAACAAGACCAAATACTAGGCCCTGTACTTTGGCCACAACAACCCCAGGCAATGCTACAGGCTTGGGGCAGAATGGCTGGAAGACTGTGTAGAGGAAATGGACCTGGAGGTATTGATTGATGCTTGGCTGAACATGAGCCAGCTGTGTGCCCAGGTGGCCAAGAAGGCCAATGGCATCCTGGCTTGCATCAGGAACAGTGTTGCCAGCAGGAGCAGGGAAGTGATCAACCCCCTGTACTCAGCTCTGGTGAGGCTGCACCTCGAGTACTGTGTCCAGTTTTGGGCCCCTCGCTGTAAGAAAGACACTGAGGCCCTGGAGCGGGTTCAAAGAAGGGTGACAAAGCTGGTGAGGGGTCTGGAGCACAGGCCTTTTGAGGAGCGGCTGAGGGAGCTGGGATTGTTCAGTCTGGAGAAGAGGAGGCTCAGGGGAGACCTTATTGCTCTCTATAACTACCTGAAGGGAGGTTATGATGAGATGGGGGTCGGCCTCTTCTCTCATGTAATTGGTGATAGGACTAGAGGGAATGGCTTCAAGCTGTGCCAGGGAAGATTCAGGCTGGACATTAGGAAATACTACTTCTCTGAAAGAGTGGTCAGGCACTGGAATGGGCTGCCGAGGGAGGTGGTGGAGTCACCGACCCTGGTGGTGTTCAAGGGACGTTTGGATTTTGTGTTGAGGGATATGGTTTAGAGAGAACCATTGGTGATAGGTGGATGGTTGGACTGGATGATCTTGAAGGTCTTTTCCAACCTTGGTGATTCTGTGATTCTGTGATTCTGTGGTCTACCCACAGGGCTTCACAATCACCTTGTCAGAATGTTCATGGCGATTACTCCTGTCACATGGTGAGGAAGAGCGGCTTTGTCCCATCCAGCTCTTTGCTTACCTGTTACCCATGACTTTCTATTTTAGAGCAACTTGTCAAGTCATTCATCTCTTTTAAAGGAAGTCCTTTCCAAAAACCCTTGGGAGCAGAACTCTGCTTTGCCTAAGCTGCCATAGCTTTATTATCTTGAGTGAGCACTTACATTGCCATGGGATCCACAACACATCGAAAACCTCTGGAATTTCATTCCATCAACCAGGATTCAGTTTAATGATTTGCTGGGCTAAAGTTGTGTCTTCACAAAGTCACCCAGGGTTCAAGAGATGAGGAATCAGTCACCACTAGTTTGCTTAAAAGGTTAATCGCTGGTGCTGTTCAAACTCGTACCCATCTTATCTTCAAAAATGATCTGTTTTCAGTTTCCACTGGTTCATATATCCTTCTCAGTGGGGATAAAAGGTACTTAATGGCTGCTCTTTTTACCTAATGATATTACGTATGCTCTAATCAAATCACTTCTCAGTCTTTGCAATAAATTGTATAAACTTTCTCTTATCTTTGGAATAAATTTTTGTAACTTCTTAATGCACTGAATCAAGTTGCCTAGCAAGTTTGTGGATGCCCCCAGCGTGGAGGAATTTAAGGCCAGGCTGGATGGGGATTTGAGCAACCTAGTCTAGAGGGAGGTGTCCCTGCCTATAGCAGGGTGTTGGAACTAGATGATCTTTAAAGTCCCTTCCAACCCAACCCATTCTATGATTCTATGATTCTCTGATTGTATGATTTTATTAAAGCGCTATTCCTTTTCTAATACACAAGAAAGCTTTCTGGGAGCACTGAGGATTCACATGCATTGAACAACCATGAATCCACTCAACTTCCCAGGAAAAGCTGAGGTTGCTTGATACACATAAGAGAAGTATCCTCTGATGAACCAAGGGAATTTTCTAGACGATATCGTGAAGGCCCAAAATTGTGTTCAAACAAAATATTTTCTAAATATTATCCTTAAATTTTGCTCAGCCTCGAGCATGAGGAGATGGAGAGTTAATTTTACATGCTTTCTCTGTGAGAATAACAGAAGACTAAAAATTCAGCAATATTTTCATTTAGTACATAGAAAGTCTGTGGATACTGAACAAGAAAAGAAGGAATAGTTTGCAATGAACAGCATTTTCAACAAATCAGCCTGTTTTTGCAGCTTGTAGACTAACTATGAGATGACTGTAGTTTCCTCAAGTGAATTTATTATTTAAGTTTTCCAATTAATATGTTTGGGATGGGAAGTGTTTCCTAGGAATTCAAAGTGAAACACTGTAAATGTGAGCCACTGTTTAATTTCACTTGGTTTGATAAACCCACAGCACTTACTCCAGTTCACCCATCAAGTGACTGTTCACAAATATAAAATTAAACATACCCCTTCATTCTAGATTCCCAAGTAGCACCGTATGTTCTAACTTTTTACCTTTATCTGACAATATTCACTGGAAAATCTCAAAGCAAATTTTAGAATGTCAGTTGAAAGTTGCAATACCTTTGCCTTTGATTACTACAGTACCAGTTCTACAGGCAGGGGAGAATGTGAAATTTTTATGCCAAATCCTTTGTAGACATTCAGTCTATAGCTGCATCCAGGAGCAAATGAAGAAGTAAGAATGGACTGTTGAGATGAAGACAAGTGAGTGATGTTGAGCTTCATAATAAGAAAGATGATTTATTTCCTTTTAATGGCATCTTTCCTGGAATGCTTGTGTGCTTGAAGTCGGAGACCAGATTTATCTGGGTTAGAGTAGGAGCTGAATGCAAATGCTAATCTACAATGAAAAAAAAAGTAAATCTCAGGCAACTGAATGAAATGAAACTGTACAGGGAAGGTAAAAAAAAAATGTAGAACACTTGCTGAAGCAGAAATGAATACCTGAATTCCCAGTGTTGATTTCCATTCACTCCAGCCCAGGGTTGTCCTAAAGTCCAGTTCCATGTCTGCTGGCATCAATGGGTGCTCATATGGCTATACACTGCTTCCTTTTCCCTGCACTCACACTTCTGCCAAAGGGTCTGAACATGGAGCCAGGCCAGAGGAAAAACACAGCAGAAAATGTACCATTTCTATTCTTCTCACTGCCTCCAGAACAGTTCCCTGTGCTGCCTTGTGAGTCCAGTCTTGGGCCAGGGGAAGGGCAGCCCCCTGCATTCACCCCATGCATAGAGGCATGGCCTCAGTTGGGATGCAGCCCCCAGCTCCTGCTGAGCTTGAAGACCAGGTGGATACCACCTGGCTGACACTGCTGCCTCTGCTCAGGAGCTTTGTCTCTTTGATCTTCAGAGGAGTTCAATGGGACCTTGCACTTTGACTTAGTTACACATGTTTACTCAGGAGTTGAATCCTATATTTCTTGACTTTTTCACTCACAAATGATGATGAGAAACATCCAAGAAGTAAATATTTCATTCTGCTTGACCCAACCACATTATTCTAGTTTGAGTCAAACAGTTTGTAAAATAAACACATTTTGAGGGGAAAAAAAAAGCACTTTTTTTCCATTTGACCAAAGGAAAGTCAACTATTTGCTTGATTCTGTTTATAACCAAACTATTCTCAAAACAATAGCAAAGACACTGACTCATCTGTATACTAAGATCCTGGCCTTGCCAGGAGTAGAAATCTACTCTCAAGAGCAGCCATGCAAGCCACCAGCCATCACAGGAAAGCAGAAGTGCAAAGTACGTGTCTGACACGACAACTCGACACAAATCATGAACTCGACCTTCTCTTCTTCAGTTAGTTACATAAAGCTTAAAATGGCACACTAATATACAGTATACAGAATGCAAAATATCCGTGGATTAGCCTGCAACAGTCATACATAAAATACTCCATAGCGTTTACATTTTC